CGCTGACCAAACCCCGTAGAGACGGAAAACTGACTGCCGCAGCTCCGGAGGCATGAGCTGTGAAATCGTCGCATTGTACAAGTCCTCGCCCGTCCCCCACAAATGTTCTGGAAGTGTTTGGTGAAGGTCTACGTACTCTTGCGCTTGTTGATACGGGTGCCGCTGTATCTGTGATGAGTCAGAAACTCTGCCGTTTGATACGAAAAGTAACGACGCCGCCTTCCGATGTTTTTCTGAATACTGCGAGTGCACAACCAATTCGACCAGTCGGAGCATGTACGGCGAGAGTAATAATTCAGGACGTCCTGTACCACACCGACTTTCTTGTGTTGACCACTTGTTCCCACGATGTGATACTTGGATGGGATTTTTTGTCGCGCCACCATGCCGTAATTGACTGCGCTCGCGCGCAGGTGGAATTTTCTGTGTTTTCAGATGCGCCATCTACCGACAATGAGCGCACTCACCATGGCAAGCTTCTTGTTGCTTCCGACGTTGATGTTCCTCCTCTTAGTGCCATCGTTGTCCCCGTCAATCGCACTGAATTGTCCGACTTTACCGTTGTGTTCTCCCCATCTGACGTTTTCAGTCGCCGCCACGGTACGTCTCTGCCATTCGCCGTTCTGCCACCTCACCAAGATACTTCCGGAATTGTCGTTTGCAATCCTAGCTCATGCCCTCTCACGAAACACTGGGCTATGTTCATCCTGTTGATGACAACGTTATTGTGCCTATTGAGTCCCACGACCCTGGCCAGCAACTTCAACTGAACGCTGTTACTCCTCTTTTTACGTGGGATGACTACTCCTCGGATATCTTTAATCGTTCCGTCCACAGCAAGCTTCCTCCGGATTAACCGGACCAGCTAATAACCCTTCTGCATGAATTCCGAGATTCATTTGACCTTCCTCAAAAGGCACTGAGTCAAACTAACACCGTCGCTCACACAATCTACACTGGAATGCACCCTCCTTAGCGGTAACGCCCCTGCCGCGTATCACCCAAGGAACGAAGTGTAATTGCAGAGAAGGTGGTTGATATGCTTCAGCGTGGTGTCGTCAAACTATCTTCTAGCCCTTGGTCTTCACCTGTTGTGCTAGTAAAGAAAAAAGACGGTTCGATTAGATTTTGTGTCGACTACCGGCGACTGAACAAAATTACACGGAAGGATGTATACTCTCTTCCCCGCATCGACAATGCTATCAATTGCCTACAAGGTGCCGAATTCTTTTCTTCGCTGGACTTACGTTCAGGTTACTGGCAGGTTCCGATGGCAGAGTGTGACCGTCCCAAAACAGCGTTCATTACGCCGGATGGCCTATACGAATTCATGGTTATGCCATCCGGTCTGTGCAATGCACCTGCAACGTTTGAACAAATGATGGACAGCATTTTACGCGGTCTTAAATGGCAGATTTGCTTATGTTACCTTGATGATGTTGTCGTATTCTCTCCTGATTTCCCTACTCCCGTCGACCGTCTGTGCACCATTCTTCAGTGTCTTACTAAAGCAAACCTCCAGCTTAACCTAAAAAAGTGCCACTTAGGGGCTCGCCAACTTACTATACTTGGTCACGTTGTGTCAAAGGATGGAATTTGCCCCGACCCAGACAAGCTTCGAGCCATAGCCGACTTTCCAAAGCCGACCTCACTCAAAGAACTAAGGAGCTTCATCAGCTTGTGCTCGTATTTTCGCCGTTTCGTCCACAACTTTGCATCAATAATAGCCCCTCTTACACAACTACTGAACGGTCCAGCTAATCTTTCTAACTGGACCCCGGCATGTGACGAAGCTTTCCTTACACTGCGCCGCCTGCTTATGTCCCCATCCATTCTACGCCATTACGACCCAAGTGCCCCCACCGAAGTGCACACAGATGCCAGTGGCGGTGGTCTTGGAGCAGTACTCACACAACGAAAGCCCGGTATTCCAGAGTACGTTATCGCATACTCAAGCCGCACACTCACGAAAGCGGAGATGAACTACTCAGTAACTGCAAAAGAATGCCTCGCAATCGTTTGGGCGTTAAGCAAGTTTCGTCCTTACTTGTACGGACAGAGTTTCGACGTTGTGACCGATCACCACGCACTTCGTTGATTGGCGTCGCTAAAAGATCCTTCAGCTCACCTTGGACGTTGGGCTCTTCGCCTACAAGAATTCGACACATTCGTGTTGTCTACCGCTCAGGACGAAAACACTCTGATGCGGACGACCTCTCACGATCACCAGTGAGATCAAGCGCAGACCTGCATTCGGACGCCAACTTCTCCATCGCTCCCATTTCAGTTTCAAGCATGTCGTCTGAACAGCGGAAAGACCCATCGATGAAATCTCTCTTTGACATTCTTTCCGACTCCTCAATGTCTGCGTACCCTGCGCTCTTCACCGCCAAGCCACACATTTTTCGATACGAGACGCGCAACTATACCGCAGAAACTACCACGCGGATGGTCGTAAATGGCTCTTGGTTATACCACACCACATGCGATCTGATGTCTGTGCGTATTTTCATGCCGACCCACAACATGCTCATGCTGGTGTGCTAAAAACATATCAGCAGATCCGCCAGCGTTACTACTGGCGTGGTATGTACACTTTTGTACAAAAATACACTCGGTCCTGTTCATTATGCCAACGACGAAAGACATCAGCCCATTCACCTGATTATTACAGCCTCTACCGTGTCCGGCGCGCCTTTTCGACCGCCCTGGAATCGATCTATATGATCCCCTTCCTTACACTGCCACTGGAAATCGATGGATCATTGTCACCGTCGACCATCTGACAAGGTATGCTGAAACAGCTCCACTACCTACAGCTGGTGCACGTGACGTAGGCAATTTCGTTTTGCGACGCTTTGTACTGCGTCATGGGGCACCACGTGAACTACTAAGTCATCGAGGGCATATCTTTTTATCCGAAGTTGTACAACAACTCCTTCGGGCATGCCGCACGGTGCACCGCACCTCTACAGCCTACCACCCGTAGACCAATGGTCTAACTGAGCGCTTCAACCGAATGCTAGGAGACCTGCTCGCCATGTATGTCAATACCGACCAATCAAACTGGGATGTCATTCTCCCATTTGTGACCTATGCGTACAACGTGACGCAGTCAACCACAGGCTTCTCGCCTTTCTTTCTTCTATATGGGCATGAGCCATGCTCCACCCTTGACACCATTTTGCCGTATCGTCCCGACATCTCAGAGTTCAACCCTCTTTCTGAAATTGTGCACCACGCTGAAGAGTGTCATCAGTTGGCCTGATCATTCACTTCAGACAAACAAGCACTCGAAAAAGACCGCCACGACCGCGACCAGCAAGTCAAGACTTTTGCTGTGGGCTCGCTCGTCTGGCTCCGACTGCCCTTCCACTCCCCAGGTCTGTCCTCAAAGTTTGCCCCCAAGTTTCATGGTCCTTATTGCGTCGTCGAACGTCGATCTCCTGTCACATACGTGATCGAGCCAGTCACGCCATCTACAGACAGGCGATGCCTTGGTCGTGAGATTGTCCACGTGAGTTGTCTCAAGCCCTATCACGACCTACTCCTAATCTCGTCACCTTGACTTGCCAGGATCGCTTGTCTTCGTCGCCGTGGTATTGTAGAGAGGAAGAAGATCATGTGCCGCAGTGGGTTACGCCTTTAGCGAGAGGAGCGCGAGCTGTTCCCCCAAGCGTTGCGATTCCTGCGTCGGTTGCTGCCACCCGCTTTCCGCATCAATAGACCTGCTGTGCAAGTACTACTTACACCAATAAATCCCGTTTCACGACCATGCCAAACAAATAAATGCAACAGCAAAGATATTCAAGGACTTGAACTTTGGAGTTCAGCCATGAGCACAGATTTACAATGCAGACACAATGACATGCAGTAATTTATTTCACATCTATATCAGCTGAAAAAAGCATTTTCATAATAGCTAAACATGCATTCTAGCTTTCTTTATTCATGAGACCTCACAAGATGTTAGGTTTTGGGTTATTGTCACGTGGAATCCCACAAGCAGCACTACTAAAAAGCAGTAACGACAAGCCTTGTTAAGATAACCAGGATGTTTTTGTATCCATATGTTATGCAACTCCAATCTAAACCTTCACTTACTTCAGGATTTAAGAATGTAAAACCTAAACACGATGTTCGGCGAAAAAAAAAAGAAAGCAGGTGCAATTTTCCATAGAAAAAAATGGAGGCAAGCAGGCGTGTGCATACCTTACCTAGTATATTCTCACTTTTTCTTTTTTTTTTTTTCCCTGTGGTTTGCACAATGCACCCTTCTAACTTTTTCCTTCCTCTATACTGGGAAAAACACCCAGTTTTGTTCTGACAGCAACAACAGTTATGCGTGATACAGTGAAATGCAACAATGAAAAGTAAGAATTCAATGCAGCAAAAAAAAAAAGACAAGTGACCTCAATAAATGACCACATTACCATATCAGAAATGACTGATCGACACCCACATGATCAGCAGCACAAACACTTCTGTTGCTGAAGATAACAATGGCCTAAATTCCACTTAGACCGACTGAGAACTGAATAAGAAGCCGCGTGTCTACACCAACTTTCAAAACTAACAAGCCAAGTAAGATGAGATGCATTTGACAAGGATAGGTCTGCATCTAGAAACCTTGGTCAGCCTTTTGGAGGCCCTCGCACCTGTTCGTAACTGCCTTATGTGTTTCTGTACATAAGAGGCTTGAAGTAGTGCATTCATAAATTCATGCAAATTATTAATACACAAGCTTTCTACACTTGATACAAATGGCAGACAAGAAAAGAACGACAGCAATCAAGAATGTGCAACTTAAATAGAGCAAAGATAAATCGAACTGTTTCAGATGTTTTTGCCCAACAAATGAAGAACAACGAAAAAGTGAGGAATCTTCATGGCTGTAAGACCTTCCTAATTAGTCATGTACCAACATGCTACACATTGAATAGTAAAAGCAGTAAAAATTTTTTTTTCAGTGGATACTTGTACACAAAAAGAGAACTCACAACCCATGTAATTGTCCCTTCAGCCAAGAACCCTTGTAAGTGGCATCCTTGTAGGCAGGCAACTTGGTGAACACAAAGCTGGCATGACGTATCATGGGAGGAGTGAGTCTCTTGTCCAAGTGGCCACTCTTCAAGCTCTGGACAGGGTTATCTCGTTTGTCACTATTCAGCAAGTTTCGAATAGCTTGGTTTAAGCAACAGACCCATTCCGTCTGCAAAAGTGGCCGCATTCCACAAAACAATGGCTCAGTTACGATAGGACAAATACAGCGTGAATATTGTGATGCACTGCACCGCAAAAACAATAATACCATGTTAACCTGAATTTGAATGTCCGTTCCTTGTTTTCTAACATATTAACAACCATCAAACAAAGGTGCTTATTAACAGTCACTCACAGAATTAAGTGACAGCTTTATCTTCCTGAAATAACGTCATATCACAAAAACAGCACAAGGTTTCCAAATTATGCAGGCACTCGTACGCACTTTAATAGTGCACCCTCAAATGTAGAAGAGCATGCTGCCTTTGAAATAGGGAATGAAGTTTGACAAAACAAGTGCCCTTTATATTCCAAAATACTAGCTTAAAGGTCAGCACGTTATAAAAAATTAATAAGTGCCACAAAGATAAATTGAATAATACATCAGTTAAACATGCAAGCTTAAAAAAAACATAACCAAGAAAAGTACAGTCTAAAATTTTTTAAATTCTGAAGAAATACACATCAAATAAAAAAATTTCTTATCAATTATGCCAGTAAAAGAGATACTAAAGAAAAGCACTAAATTCCTTTAGACAGGTAGTACCTTGATGAAAACCTGCAGATAATGAAGCCAAGGAAAGCATAAGTGATGTTAATTGTACTTTCATAAGTGTATTGTAGTCATTGTGATATAGACGAGAAGAAAGTCATGAGGAGGAAAAGACAACTTGCCGTCGGCAGGGACCGAACCTGTAACCATCTGATAACATGTCTGATGGTCTACCAATTCAGCTACAGTGGCAGTCATCCTCTTGTCCACTTTATCAGGTATTTATGAGGATGCAAGTCTGGGAGTGTTCTCCAGTGCCGCTCAAAGCCATGAAGGCTGGTGTAGACACTTTCTTTACCAGCTGGTGTACGAGCGGCACTGGTGAACACTTCTTGGCTCGCATGCGCATAAATACCCAATAAAGTGTACGAGAGGATGACTATCGCCGTATCTCGACAGATAGAGCATTGGGTGCTTTATTTGAAGGTTGCAGGTTTGTTCCCCGCCGATAATAGGTTTTCTGTTGGTTGTGCAAATTAAATAAATGCACCCTAGGAATCCCCTCTTGTTTCATTTAGACATGTAGGTTATTCTTTGAAAAGTTGGCCATCAATTTTGTCATCGTAAACTTATTCTTAGAAGAGATAATGAAAGTTGAAGTTAGAATTTTAGAATTTTAGACCAATACGAGGGGTTGTGCGGTTATTAAAAGTTTCAAATATTTGTTTAATAGTTTTGCTATTTAATTTAATTCACACCATGATTTCACCATTAAAGCTATTCGAACTTCCTGAAGACAAATACAGTCAACGTCTATATAACAGTGACCCCTTCAATGTTCAATAGGCTTCACCTAATTGTACCCTCGTATTGTGGCAAAGCTGCCTTTTCACTTGTGGTTCTGTTAGAGTTGCAAATGTATTGAGTCAAGAAAACGCTGGTTCCGATATAAAGATAATAGATGTGGTAGAGGTGGGGGCGCAATTAATGTTGCGCTCGACCTGTAATTTGGGCAGGAAGTCCAAAAATCAGACACCAAGAACTTTTAGCATCCGAAATTTGAGATGTTCTTGTATACTACTGAGACGTACAAGGCAGATTTGGAACTCCGCACTCAAAGGGAGCACACTCTTGTCCGTGAGATTAGTTGGGCTTCCACAGAAATTGAAAGAGGAGGAAGGGCTGAGGAAATAGCATCTTTGCCTTTCATATGAAGAAGTGTTGTCAGCAACACTTAAGTTGCCTCAAATCATGTACGTAAATACAATTCGACCGCTGCATTGTTTCATTATTGATAAGACAACTATAAAACATCACCTGCCAGTGCTTCATCATCCCAGCAAAAAAAGAAAACATGTTCATGCTGCTATCTTACAAGAATATGCTGAGGGATCTTCTATACAATATTCTTTTCTGCAATTTTACTTCAAAGCATTAAAAATATTCTAGAAATATATGACAAATATTTGATTCGAATCACACTCACACTTAAATATACAAATTAACTTTGCATCCAAAATCTTGCTATTTGTATAGATCTACCAAAGGGTTATCATGGGTATATTATTTATGGCATACTTCTCAAGCTATCTTTCTTTTTTTTTTCTTTTTTTGTTGGTCACATTGGCTCAATCATAAGTATTCAACTCCATTGCGGCACTCTGCAAACAATACTGGGTGTTCAAAGTTAAGCTTTCTGGTTTTCTTAAAATTCAGTACTGGGAAGAAGATGAAAACCACTTTTGCAGATCACTTTTATATCCAGGGGGACACAAAGTTAAGGCAATAATGACCCCTGTCAACTGTCCAATAAACTAACATTTAATAATTGACTGTTTAGTGACTGCAGCAAGCAAGCATCTTTATTCTCAATAGTTGGAGGCAGTCGTATTCATACACAGTTCCAGTTAAAAAATTCTTCTATTGTGTCTGTGCTCCGAGATATCCCACTGCAAATTTTGTCCTTTTCATGATTAGTCATGCAGGACAATGAGGATTAGCGCAATGTTCCTCCCCAATATGACAAACAGTCACTGCTTGCTGCTATCGCTAGCCTGTAGTAAAAGGGTAACCATTATCGTCGTTACCTGTATCTGCGACCCATTGTCAGATCAAACGATGCACACAACTGCCACGGCGCATCGGGGAGGAGCTGTGAGCCAGTGCTGACTGTCTCGCACGCGTAATCGTGTGATGCACACAACTGCCACGGCGCATCGGGGAGGAGCTGTGAGCCAGTGCTGACTGTCTCACACGCGTAATCGTGTGAACCACAATTAAACTTAACACCAGGGTCCCTTGGAGCACAAACATGCTATAAAAATTTTTTCAAGTGGTACAGTACAAATGCGACTGTCTACAACTTCGCACTACAAACATGCCCGCTTGCTGCAGTCACTAAAAGTTAGTTGATATATCTGTCAATTATGCAGCTAATAGTAATATTTATTATCTCACTTTGTGTCCCCCTTGGATATATCTCAAAAGGTGGTTTTCATGTTCTTCATAGTGCTGAATTTAAAAAAAAACATAAAGCTTAATTTTGAACACCCTGTATGACCCATTTTTAACAATAAAGAACTTATATAAGTCCTACCAGCTTCCACCAAAATTCATGATATCATAGTGAGCTGGTGTAGGAACTTCAAGGTAGTGGCAACATTTATCTTTCGTATACACCCTTCTTCTGGCTTATTGATCATCTAATACCACTAACAATGGTTTTTATCATATCGGAGAATGGTAATGCACCGATACAGCTGCAATCATTGGTGTCTAACTTTTTCCCCACCACACCCATACAGCACTGATACCGTGCTATTGATGATTTGTAATGCCATTTTCTAATCATTTCATGCCGTTAATAGACACACTGCTCCATTTGTCGTGAAAGAAAATAAATATAGCTTTCTTCTTTGTGTAGGCTGTTTCTTTCTTGGGTGGTTTTAAATTTTCAATGCGCTCCAAAGTAAGTGAAACCGAACAAAGCCACCACCGGATGCAGCACATGCAAGCACTTCAAAAAGATCGCAAATGTTGGCATTCCGGAGTGTTTGCAGCTAATTTAGTTGATTTCACGAGCTAGAGGGAGTCTGAGGGTGCTACTTTTTGTTCGGACTTCGACTCTGAGAGCGGGGACGATGCAAACCAGCCCGCAACATCGTTCAGCTTCACTGTTTGCTTTGAGCCATCTCAGTTTACCATTCAGCACCAGCCTGGCTGAATGGTAACTTGGAGAAACTGTAAGAAATGTAAATGCGACTAAAAACCTTGCAGCAAGCAAGAGTTTGCTGCAAGACATGTGATGTTATGTTGTGCTTTACAAAGAAAAACTACATTGCTGCATGACTGGCTCCTTGTAGTGCTTGCAGTAAAATTTTTGTTGGGGAAACCGATTTTTTTTCTTTATTAGATAGACGCTTGTCTTTACAAACACTAGTATATTTTGTCTCATAATCTTGAGTTTGGCAATTTATTATCGCTCGTATAGATCGTTTCGCCAGCATCTGCCGGTTTCTGGAAACATTGTGCATTCACCGGAAATGCACCCTTAGTAACTTCCAGTTTAGCTAGTTGCGAGGTTTTAGCCTTCCTTGCTGGCTGCAGCTGCTTGTGTTTCTATGTTTTATGTGAACAGAATTATTCCATCGAATCACTCGCAACTCAAGCACAGCTGTATGAAGCCAGGATACAGTCTGCAAGCCTGAAATAATTTAAATGCAAGTCAAAACGTTCTGTTTTCCAACCGATGGAGATAAAAAAGAGTGCCTGCATTGCAGCAATCATGCGAGAAAACTGGATTTCCTCAAAGAGCGCGAAGGTTTGTTTGGCCCACTTCATTAACGGCAAAGTAAAGCTGAGCACAGACTAATGGCACAGAGGCCTAATGGCCATCGCAAAGGTGTTTCTTGTGTAGTTCGAGCCACATCAATGATGTGTACTGTTAGAAACAATATGGGACACAAAGCAGCCGTGCTCAACATGAATCGCCGCACAGTGTACGTCGCGGTGTCCACGTTTTTTTTGCTGCTGCGTTTGGTTTTTTTGAAAGCGACGCCAGCGAGTGAGTTCGCATTTGTACGAGCAAATGGCTTCTCACCTGTCTTGCTGCTGCCAATGAACATTGCTGCATTGTAGCTAATTTATCTTTCGGTGTGAACACAGACTGTAGGTTTAGGTGGGTTTAACTTGAAAGTTTGATTCATGAATAGTTCACTGTTAAGTAAACCATAATAGCTTAATATAATATTTGTGGCGCTACTCAGACAAGGAACAAAAAAGGAGGAGACAGGATAGGGCGCCAGTATGAATTTCCAGCTCACCCAAGAAACAGCACTCTTAAAATCATAATAGTTTGCGTCACTCAGCCACAGTTGAGATCAACGCATACTGAGTAAATTTTATAATTTCTCAGTCTTACCCAAGCCTTTAGATCGCAGGCAATTCAAATAGCTGCTGAAATCTACAAAAAGTGCCCGGTGTGACATTGATGCAGAATTAAGCGTTTTATCATGACGTTATGTGCTTATACAGATACACAAATGTGTTTGTGGTTTGACAGGAGGCAGGTTTTCAGCTATAGTGAAGAGCTGAATTGTGGAACTTCACTACGAATCGGGCAACTCTTCTCCTGCATGTCGACAATATAGGTGCACTTTGAAGACGTGGACAGGGAAAAGACAGGTGTGTCCTATCCCTTCCCTGTCCGCATATTCAAAGCACGCCCACATCGTCGACATGCAAAACCAACTGACAAATTTCTCCTGCAGTTTATACATTCTCTGCTTGTACCTCTCTTGTGCACAACATCGTGCCCCTTCATGTAGCCACTAAGCATTGCTCTAAACATCCTAAGGAATGTACCAGAGATAATACAGAAGCAAACTCAAACACCCCCAAAAACACTGCCGAGACCACTGAAAAGGCATTACCAGAAGTGGCGCACTGGAAGTATTCTTGGGTAAGCCGTTCGGCTTGAGCCAGTATGTTTAACACCGAAACCATCTATAACATGTATCTTGTTAATAAAACTTGTTAGCATGAGAAGTTCATTCATTCTGCATTTCAATCATTTATTACAGGAAATATTAGTAGCAGCAATTCCCTCAGCAAAAAAAAGATGTAGTGCAACCAATAAAAAATAGCCATTTTCTTCATGGTAAGGAAAGGGTTAATGTGAGACTTCAAAAGGACCGTTTCTTTCGTACACTAAACAAAAAATGCTATGAACTGTAGAAAATAACTTGCCTTTTGAGAAGGTACTCGGCAACTGAATGCAAGTGTTTCTTCAGGTGTAGTGATAGCAAAAACATTCCTAATAAATAAAGCAGAATCAAGTGCTAGCTGTTACTCACACAAACAGCAAACTTAAAACAAGGCAAAGCGCAGGATACGAAGAATTTAACAAAAAAAAGCTTCACATACACACTATTAATAATAAATGAGACCTATAACTAACAAGAGCACAACAAAGAGACTGCAGACTGCTGTGAAAGCTTCATATGCAACACAAGACTTCCTTTTCTTTTTTTTTAAGCATGTGTACAATCTGGTAGTGCTCTTCTTATTTGTTACTCATGATGTAGAATCAGTGTTGAATATCAAATTCCTAGTGAGGTACCAATGGAAAAGACATGCAACAATAACAGGGTTTCAAGTTCAATCAGTAATATCACCAAAATTTAGAACTTAATGAGATGTTAGAGTTGCTATGACACTGGCCCATACACATAAGCAACAATTAACATGAGATCTACACAATGCAAATTAGAAAGAACAAAATCTGCACTAACCATATCAATTAGAAAAAAACAACTACTTTAAATGTTTCCTTTACATTTTTGTGAATTCATTTACAATGACACCTAATATAATCCAACATGTTTCAACAGCATGGCAGCAAATGGCATGAATGTAACCCAGCACTTGAAGAGCTCAGGGCTTGTTTTGAGCTACAATATACGTGGCATATTTGCTCTCAGAGAATATTCCTACTAAATCTGACTGCCTAAAATATCATACGAGGTGTGTTAAAAAAGGTTCTGAACATTCGCTGTAACATCTTTAGTGTTTAAAAGGGCACTGACATCAAATTTCAAAATCGAGTTGTCCCATTCATTCGATTGCCCAGTATGCATAGGTCTTCTTGACCAAATTTAAATGGTGTCCGTTGCGCAGAAATGATTTTATTTCAACGGCAAAGAACGCACTAAAGCTCAACACGAAACTGAGTGCCCTGCGACATCAACACTAGTGCTGTATACGTGTTCGGTGTGATAACACTCCAAACGTACCATCCTGAGTGACGACGTGCTAGTAGCAATGACGTCTAAAATCAGAGTGCTCTTATCGTGGCGCTGACTGGCACCAAATGCCGAGTTTTTGATGGAGGCGAAAATGCTGTAGGCTCGTGTGCTCAGATTTGGGTGCACGTCAAAGAACCCCAGGTGGTCGAAATTTCTGGAGCCCTCCACTACAGCATCTCTCATAATCATATGGTGGTTTTGGGACGTTTAAACCCCGCACATCAATCAATCTATCAAATCACCAAATGCTGGAAATGCTCTGACTCTTTATGTCTGATGTTCGTCACACTGCTTTGAATGATTTAATAAAATTTGAAGAAGCAAACTACCAATAAAAGAAAGGTGAAAGAAAAGAACATGATTCGACATGAGCTCGTCAGCCAGCATTTCAGAGAAGCATTGTGAGCTGCAGCCATCTGGTTGAATATGCAAAAAAAGCGCAATGAGCGTGTCATTTTATTAAACGTATGGTACACCCTAGCACGACCACAAGCAATCAAAGAAGAGTAGCATATAGATAAATATCATCATTAATAAGTAACACACAGGTATCATTAATAGTGAATTTCAGTTCGTCCGTAGACTTCAATGCGCTCATGTAATACTGGATTACTACCACAATAATTGTGACTGGCCGCATAGGTGGGGCCATCTGGAGGCACTAAGAAGCACCTGGCAAGCACAGAATTATTATCGTAGAAACCTAACATATCCTATTTCTGCGCTGGTGTGCATTCTATTTAATGATATTCCATACACCTCTTCATGTATACCAGAATGCTGTGCACGCCAAAACACCCCAATACAGTGAAATCTCAGTATAACAAACTTCATGGTATCACGGAAATTTGTTCGTTACATTGAAAGGTCGTTATAGAGAAAGCTCAAAATTGGCCATAAATACTTATTTTTCCCCCACCAAAACAACATACCTTTACAACGGTGGGTCCTTGAACTTGTTTTTCACAAGAAAACAACAAATGCACAAGTAAACACCAAAAAATGCTCGTTTAGCTTAAAGAAGTCTGTGATTTTTTTTTTTTGACGGGAGAAGCGCGAACTTTGCATCGTGAAGGCCTCCAGCTCATCCACATTCCTGTGGTGTGATTCGATTCTTTGGTCACAACAGCCTGCTTTTTGCCTTCCAGTTGCTGAAGAATATGCGTTGTCTCGCTTAGCGAAAACTGCTTTCACTTCTTCATCGCAAGCAGAGATGAACTCATTTGTAGTATCACCGTAGCGCGAACGCCGACTTGTTTTGCGGACGCGATAAGTAATCACCGAAAAGAGATGGAACACAACTGAAAAAACAAGGCCACCAAAGAAAAACCCATAGCGTCACGGCTATCATTGCCTCTTTTGAAGAAAAAAAAACTAAGAAAGAAAATTCCTCGTGTTTCGTTTTCTGCTCTCTGTCTCAGATTTTCCGTGCCCATTCTTTCTGCTCCGCAACTCCCACTCTGCCTCGATGACCTTGCCCTCCCACGTTGCCCTCGCCTCTGCGCCCGCTTGTGAACCTGCAGCGTCGGCATTTCAACAAAAAGAAAGAAAGTCGCCCTCTCATGGTTTTTTTTTTCCTCCACACCGTCGCGCGTCTTTCGAGGAGCAAGGCGTCCGTTCGCTTTGTCGTCTGCTTGTGTACCACTCCAGTGGTCGCGACAGATTTCAGAACATAAGTTCGTAGTACTGAGGTGTTGCTAATATAACGTGAAACTAAATTAATTCTCGTTGTTCTGAAAAGTTCGATATTCTGAAGTACAAAGTAGTGAAATAATTTTACATTGAAACTATTAGCAGTCGGCGTGGGATTTTTTAAAAAGTTTGTTGATTTAAAAAGTTCGTTAATGTGGGGTTCGTTCTACCAAGATTTCACTGTATAGCTAATTGAAACACGCGAGCAAGCATGGCCAAAGCATGCGCACCCAGGCACCTCCTCGTTGCTGCTTGGAACAGCATCCATTTTGGAATCACAATTCTACAAAAAGTCAAAGCAAAATGATCCATGACATCGTGAATCGCAGCAAATCCAAGTTCTAGACTGTTGTATTCAACACTAGTTGCCACTTTTCATGGCGATGATGGCAATGCTGTTGACAAGGCATGACTGAACATGTGCGCCTAGCAGACGAAATTCTAGCGAAGCAACAGAGCCTCAGTCACTCCTATCTGTGGAGAAGTGGTCAGCTGGGTTGTCATCTGGAGCTTACCTTGAAAAAGCACTGCCACAACTAAAAATGGCGGGCTTGCCGGCCGTTTCGAATCATGCTAGATACTGGGGATATAAATCAATAAAATGGAGAGGTATTGATCGCTCAGTTGCGTTCTGGGACGAGAATCCCTGCTAAGGGATTAATAACTACTTGTGGACGTAGAAACCTTCAAATGAATAAGTTTGATGTCAATGCTCTTTTAATGTACATTTAAAGCACTCTCCTGCTCAAGGTATTTACTCTACTTGCAATACACTACTCCCATAATTTCTTCAATTTTTGAAAGGCGCACTGAAACACATTTTTAAAGGTTTCTTGTTGCACTGTCCTGAATTTCCTGTACAGTTCCAATCTGTCATCCTTCTTTAAGTATGGGAAAAGGTCGGCTTGGGCTAGGTGCAGTGAATGGGTGTAGTGGGTATGTGATTTTCTGGTAAATAGTTGTGGACAAGGACTGATGCACAAGCTGGTGCATCACAAACATAAAACATGGAAGTCTGGTTTTCCTACAATTCAGGTCTCTTACTGCACACGGCATCCTCAAAACATGATAGAAGTTCCTAATAGACTTCCTTGTTTACCATCAAACCACATGGTATAAACTCCTTATGAACAATGCCTCTGAAGTTAAGAAACACAGCTAACATTGCCTTGATCTTTAATCAAACTCAGGGTTGCCACCGCTGGCTACTTTTCGCCAAAGAGGCGAATTTGAGAGGCGTGTGGTGACCTAAAATTGTGATTGGCGACATGGCAAACTTTAGGCGATTTTCGGCTTACCTAGGTCTTGACTGAGTTATGCATTCTATGCTCAGTGTCTTCAAAACGAATGGGTGACAACTTTTTTTTTCATTTTTTTTAGTTTTACACCCACCAGTAGAAGGCGTACTTTACACGCAATTTAGTACATCTGTCTCGTTTCTTGTGTGTATCTGCTAATTCACCTAAATCCTGGAGGCACTGGCGCACTAGCTGGTGCGTCCGCCAGCAACCTCCCAACAATTTAGGTCAGTGGGCTGCTTCCCGTGCCGCCAGGCGCTGGTGTTATAGGTTTTTAGGTGCTTCAAGCATCTTCAAAGTTTCGGTTCTCAAGTGGCTAGTTGATGGATATAGGTCGCGTGTTCCCACCAGAGCTCCAACTGTCATGAATAGTTTGTCAATTTCTTCACTGCTGTAGTAATTTTTAATTTGGTATGTTAAGTTTAAATTTGCTAATATACTTTTCTGGTTGGCCAAGAAGTCGGGCTTCTTTGGGCGGAATTCAGAAACTAAGGCGAATGCATAGCGAAAGTGTGACCCAACAGAAAGAGTGGTGTGGCATTGCGACTGCTACACATTGCTTTCAAATTTACTTCCGCTGCTTTGCAGTTAAGTTCTTCAATTATTGGACTCAAGATTCCACTGCAGCAAAATTCTCTAAATATACAGAAGGGCTACGCACAGTGTCCCTCTCTTGTTGTAGTGACTGCTTCATTTTGTATTTGCTACAACTGAAACCATCACAAACTTTTGTTATGAGGCGCTAGCATTCAGGGACGCTGCTAGTGCATGCATGCCCTTTCTCAGTGCTCTCATGATGAAGCGAGTGATGTGACTGGCATTGAAAAACGTCAATAATTTAGGGTTAATGAATGGTACCATACTCCACAGGGTTACATAAAATTTTGAATTTTCATCATAGGCACACCAGACCTTTGTACAGTGGTGACGTTTTTGGCAAAATTTGAAGAAAAATGGTAACTTCTGGCATCATTTCGCTCATCATTTGGCGAATTTCACTCGAAAGTCAGTGGCGACCCTGACAAAACTGTAGGCTTTTTTTCAGGACCGTTTGCTGACCCACTGCGACAACAGCACCTTTCTCTCAACATCACAGCCATAAACCCTTGTCTTGTCATATGTTATGACAAGCTTTGCCAAGTTTGGGGCAAAATTTGATGCACAAGTTGTTTTTCAAGCTTTTTCTTTCTCACTTTGGTACTACACTCAAACCTCATTATAACAAAGTCACATCTCCCATGAAAATACTTTGTTATATGCAAAAATTCATTATAAACATATATCCTTAACACAGTATCTATGAGCCAGCTATTTTTCACTTCGTTGTAACCAAAAATTCATTATATCCAGGTTCGTTATATCAAGGTCAAGTGTAATTCGATGAGCAGAATGTGCAAATGATCATTTCAGTGGCTGCAGATTGCCAAGTGATGGTCAATGCAAAGTTTGGCAGATTGCAGTTCGTTGTCTAGGCCTGGCGCTATGTGCACTCGATGCCCACAGCACTGAGTGCATGTGGCTCCCTCTGCCAAGTGGCAAGCTATTTCAAAAGCTTGGTTCCTTTTTGAATACACATCATATTTTTTTCCTAAATAATTCACAACATGTGTAGTTCATTCATTCAAGGCTTGCATGACACCAGTCTTTGGAATTAAGTTAACACATTCTCTTATGCACTTGAGAAAGCAGTGCAGTTCTGGCAACAAGTGCAGCAGCTAATTTATTGAATGTTTTTGAAAATGATATATAATATAAAAAATAAGATACCCTTAGATGGTACAAGTGTTTGCTGAATTATAAAAATAGCAGAACAAGCAAAAATAAAATTTTCAGTCACTGCCGAAAATTAGCAAAAAGCTTTTACACCCTTGTGACATCATAGAGCCAGAACTTACTCAGATTTTGTGTCTGCTTCCACCCAGGCCAGTTCTAAGCTGTAGTTCTGAAAGCCACCGAACTGAAGCAAAATTTAAAAGAAAAATAAATAAAAATTAAAATATTATACAGCTGCATAATATATCAAAACAATAGAGACTACACTTTGTAACCAAAAATATTAAATGAGTACAACAAATGAGCCCCATCAAAACAAAGGAAAGTGTCCATTTTAAGATTTTGCTTCAAATCAAAGTTTTTAAATGTATAAAATTGAGAGAAAATTGAATAAAAGAGATAACCAGACTACAAAAAAAAATTTTCCCCAAGTTTTGTCTTCTGATTAACTGCTTACAGAGCTGCATATCCAAGCCTAGCATAACAGCCTCTGGATCAACCTTCCTACTTCAGATTGTTCCCTTCTTTACCTCTCTCTATTGAGCATCCATATCTGGGATATTACATTTGGTCGCGTCGTAATTGCGTGGGTCGGCATATTTTGAACTCCGGTTAAAGACGGCTGGGGCACCCTGTATATTTTAGCTGCAATATATATTTCAGGTATATTGGGCACATGAGCACATTGATATTCCCACCATGTGGATTATCTGTCTGCAATTCTTGTATTTTCACATAATGAATTGCACGGGAACCACATACATTGCCCAGATTGTCCCAAAATCTGCACTAGTGAAGATGTGAGATAGATTACAGCATACAAAGGTCACAGCATTTTTGTGCAGTTTCATACACAATTAAAAAAAAACAAGGCCAATTCTCATATTAAACAAAGATATTCAAATAAAGTAAAGATTCATTTATTGCTTTTAAGACCCATAAAAAATTTGAATTATGGATTTTTTTTGTCATACAACAAAATCTGCACTAACAAAATATCAAAATTTCAGTGCATCAAATGACCCATAAGGCTTTCCTTCAACCCTTTGAGATGCTATGTACACAATTGTGTACATTACTCGTCTTCACTATTTACATCAAGTAGATGCTAGAAAAAAGCTAGATATATTATACTTTAGATTAATTAAGCTTCCTGCATAATAAATTAGTCTTTATCTAACCTCATTTTGCAGTGTACTGATACGTATAATCACCTTTCTGAAGGCACTACCACATTCGACGAGTTGTGCGACATGCGACTTCCTGCGAGCAATGTGAAAAGAAAAATTTTTCTGTGCTGAGCATAATAGAATATAAATTTCTACTACATTCCTTGCCTGAGAGCTTATTCTATTTATGTGAAAAGTAAGCATCTATGCCATTAGCGTAAAGAGATATTCAATTAAAAGTTCATTAAGATGAATTCCTATAACACCCCTAAATTCAAGAATTTTCTCATTATTCTTGTCGCAATAGCATATCGATTGCCTTGCAGTAACGTTGTAGCAATTAGACACATTTGCAAACAGCCCTTTATAGGTGGTGTCTGAAAGGGTTAATATACACCCATAATGATTATATATACTTTTCCACATTTTCAAATCGCTATTGTTATTATTATACATAAAAAATAATAAAAATCTGCTTTCACAAATGATGTGCTATGATGTGCAGACCATTCCTACAACTCAAGTTCCTTCTGCTTGTCTAGCTGCCTAGATGACCATTCAAAAAAATTTTTATACAGACCTATGCACGTGGTAGATTCAGATTCCATAATAAGAATGCTAATTATTGAGGTTTAATATCCCAAAATGCTCCGTCGCCGTGGTCTAAGGTACTCGACTGCTGACTCGCAGGTGGTGGGTTTGAATCTCGGCTGCGGCGGCTGCATTTTTGACGGAGGCGAAAATGCTGTAGGCCTATGTGCTTAGATTTGGGTGCACGTTAAACAGCCCCAGGTGGTCAAAATTTCCAGAGCCCTCTACTACGGTGTCTCTCATAATCATATGGTGCTTTAGGATGTTAAACCCCACATATCAATCCATCATTAATGGCCCAAAATAATCAAATTTGAACTATAACACTTTCAGCATCATGCATATTCCACTGATGTCACTCAGTCCCACCAGTAATGAAGCTAAACAAACCCTACATTACTCTATTTCTTTTATAAGCACGCCATTTTAGCAGCTTTTACTGACTACTTTTCCAAACAAGCCATGTTTTGGCAGCTTTTTTACATTTTATCGGAACACTCATTCAATCAGAACAAGTGCTATAACAACCAAGTCATTCGCCGTGGGGCAAGGCTACCTGTCACAGGCACCATTCACTGGGTCTTGCACTGGCACTTCAAATGGTGAAAGCATGTGCCAACATAAGTGTGGCTCACGTAGATGAACACCAGTTTTTCTATTCATACAATCTTTGGAATAAGCCGAGCTCAAAATATAACAAAATCTTGAAATTTATATACCAATCAATGGGGAGCTCGTCATATAACAGCTAAGACTGCTAAAATACTTACATGTGAATGAACGAACTTGTCATGAAACAGAACAAAATGATGTGTTGCAAAGCGACCACCAGAGACAAGCTGCAATGGGTATGATTTGCTGTCACGTAACATTCGGCACTCCGGCACTCTGTATACAGCCTGAAAGAGAATAAGACTATTGAAAAAAAATGTTGCTCCCCAGAGAAGTACAATGCCTTTTCCGAAAAGATTATGCCGAAAAGATAATAATTTTTCATAGGTTACAATGAGAAATTTTTTGCTGGTTTAAAAAATACTCTATCACACATTGCAGTGGACGAGATTATGCATAATGAAATGCTCTTTACAAAAAATATATGTTGTAGCATAAAAAATATTAAGAAATATATAAAAATGTGAAAGTGTATAATTTTGCACTGCCATCTGATAAACACAGCAATAAAAATACTGTATATACAACCATTCAAAACAAAGAAAGTTCAGAATATACATCTTAGAAATAAGTGAAATAGAAATAGTCCATAAATTAATGAATGCTTCACACATTTTTTTATTGACATATACAAAAAAATGTGACACAAGCTACTGTTTCATTGCTTGTGCGATGGGGTAAAACATTTCCTGGAATTTGTGAAATGCAGGTGCACTAGTGCACTTTTAGAACAAAATCCTCTGAAAGTACAAAAGTGCACCTGTGTTCCGAGGAAAGCCTACTGGTGTTCCAATACAGATTTTGGACCATGATGTGGACAAATCAGAAGTCCAAAAAACTTCACCAGTTTGTCTCCACAAGCCACATCTATATGCCAAGTTAGTATTTCCGAAATATGCCTCCAAGCATATTTATATGTATTTTCACAGATGGTATTGATAACCTCCACTGTGATCAAGCAAAGGAAAAAAAAAAGAAAGAAAAAAATTGTACTTGGTTGTAAAACGGCTCATACGACTCAGTAGTGCAGAGCCTAGATGTGCTCCGGGTAACCTTCTTGACCTGAAGAGAAGCTTTGCAGCCGTTGCCAGCACATTGCAGTCCAGCAACCTGTGGACCTTGCACGTAACTCAAACATATCTAAGATTGTGCACAAAGGTCCGCAGCTACAAACAGTGGAGAATACCAGGTGCATAGCCAAAAATTGTTTTCAAGGGGGGGGGGGAGCACCACCTTGATTTCGGGAGAGGCACCACCTTCAAGTGGCCATATTTCACTCTCTATACCATGGCGAAAAAAAAATTTCGGAGGGGAGGGGGGCACGTGTTCAGTGTGCCACCCCCTGGTTACGCCCATGGAGAAGACTACCCCCTTGAGGTCATAAACGAAATCAACCCCTCAATGCCTGCAGATATCACAGGCTGACACAAAACATTGTCATCGTCAGTGCTTGAAACAGAGGTGCTGTCATCATCGGGCTCAGAGGTGACTTCCTCATCAATCAATTCAGGTGCTGCTACAAAATTATTTCAAGCAGCCCGACTTTCTCGCGGCACAGGTGTGCACCCATGCACACATGACGCTGTCGCCATGGGAGCGACTAGCGGAACTAGAATCACCCCTCTATTGGATTTAACAAGGAAAGTGAAACTGAAGCTCCTGGAAACAAGGTTGTAAAGAACACGTCCACATGCTATATGTGCGGCAGACCTTCGGAAATAAGTTTTCGCAGAATAAATCTTTTATGACTCTAAAGAACAGCTTTCTAGTGAGCAGTTCATATAAATTTCGGGCAATTACTACTGGTGAACACTGTCAAGTTGCAAAGATTGCACCATAACTTAATAGGTGACTTGTAAGGGTTCTTTTGATCCCGGAACGTTGATATGCTATTACTGAAGCATACCCACGAGTGACATGCATTTTTCTCAGGCTGAAGTGCACTTTCCCAACAATACATGCACATTCGTTTGTGCAAAGGTCTGTCAAAAACCAATATGTTGCTAAAGTGGAGAAATTCAAACTGATTCTGAAAGTTCAGGGACTGCGCTAACCACTAGAAAGTGCTAGGTACACAAAACACAAATCGATCATGCCAATACCAACGATTCAAAGCATTGATCACTGGTGATAAATTTTAATAGGTATAGTTAAGTAAAAGTAAATGTATTTACTGCCACTAAGATACGTGAAAATTGAAATTCATTGGTTCTTCTGTTGCACAGAATGCATATCACCATCACATGGCCCAGGTATATATGACTAACCTTTTCATTCAAAGAATGCTAAAAAAGATGCTAATGCAATTATTAGATAAATTGGGGAACATACATGAGCTGTGAAACTTTAAACAATACACGCAACAGACTGCATTTACACATCAGCATAATTCAAAAAGCTATCACAAATGTGAAATTCAAGACAAGGAGAATGTCATGTCTCAAGTGTCATGAGAGACATGATTAGCACAAGCACGTGAAACTTTCAATGCCCACTTTCTCATTTTTTTAAACATTTAATTATGCACTTTCCTTATCAAGAAAATAAATAGTATATCATCAATGAGAAGGAATGCTTACAGTAAGTTTTTGGTTTACAGTGTCCCAAAATGATTTTGTTGACTCAGCCAATTTCATTTCTTTGGTTGAGATATCATACAGAGCCAACCAGTCATTTAAGCAAGACTGCAGGTTACTCCAAAGCTGTGTCTGTAAATAAAAACATACTCAGATTAAAAAGTAGCCTTGTGCGAACATTCAGTGCTTTGCACATGAACAAATATCATGGTATTCAGATTCACTTTAATTTGAATTGAAATCATTAGAAATTTTGAAGTACTTGAAATGAATGAATAGGTGTATATTAGTCCGCACATAACTTCCTGTAAACGTGGTTTTTCTGCGGTAGAGGAGTAATAAGCCATGAAAACGAAATCCACTATGCACTGCCACAAAGCCCCACTTCAAGGATGAATGTTCCTATTACTCATATCGATTCATCATTTTTTAAGTTTAGAAGCTTGCTGTACTGGCCCATATGCTGTAATGCGCCTTTGTTTTTTGGTTACAAATGGCAATGGCAATTCATTCTTTTTTCATTGCATAGATGCAACACTCGAAGCAGTTGTTTGTACATTGTTTACACCTGCCAGGCACACATAGAGGAAGGAAAAACTACGAGAGAGCATCATGTGATTCTGCTAGCATTGCCAACCTACACTGACACCGCCTCTCCTGGCCAATATGCGGTGCCTCCTGGGTAGGTATAGGCCCCCGCAGCACCCCCAGCAGGCACAATCAAAAGGAGCCAATCAACAGTAGCACTTGCCTATCACAAGACAAGAAACTATTTGTCCTTTAAATTTTTTATGAATAAGCTTCAAGATTGTAACGTTATGTTCCCTTCTAGTTTTCTCCCTTTCTCTATCCTGCCACGTTGAACCAAGCAATGTCCTCTCGGTCCTATGATATCCTATGAAAAGTGAATGAGGACTGTAAGAGGAAGCAGATGTGCTTGGCGAAGAAGCTAGGCTTGGCAACGTAAACATGCACAATTGCTGGGAATGCGCAGGTTCACCTTCCAACTAGTCATTTGCGCAGGAGACTCCCAAGTTCTGAACAAACCCCCTGATTGCACAGATATAGCCATAAATTTCTTAAAGAAATAGTGGCAACTCTACCATAAAAAGATAATAACAAGTAGCAGCAATTTTCAAATTTTATTCTCTTCACCTATCGCTTGCGAAGCGCTGTTTAAGTAAGTTTCGTTACTGTACTCTGGCGTCTTGAGAAAAAGCGTTGTAAGATTACGCACGGGCTACTAGCTGCCGCAGGTCACAGCACATTTGGACCCTCAACAAGACACATGCATGTTTCCTGTGTTTGCGAGTACTAATATAATCGCTAACAACTAAAACCTTTACCTGCTATTATTTATGTCTATCCATGATGTTGCTGTAACTCTGGGAAACATTAAATGAAAACAGACACTAGCATTTATTTTTGTTTGCACACTAATTTGAAGTTTTCTGATGACAGGCATTTCAGATTACAGTAGACTCTCAGTGAACGAAAATCTGTTAAACGGAACTATTGCCCCTGCAATGCTTGGTTTCAGGCTTGTATTTTGCACCCATATTCACCTCCCAGTAAACGGAAATCCTGCTAAATTAAACATATTTTCCCGGTTCCTTCAGGTTCCGTTTACTGAGAGTCTACTGTATACGAATACTTTTTGTGAACCCGTGCGATTCATATCACTGAGGTTTTGATGCAGATATGAAAGCTTATATTGAATAAAAGAAGTGGGTGTAAACGCTGCTGACTGGTTGTTGAGGTACACGAGCCAAACATTATAGAGTGGCATGCAGCCTGGAATTTACAATCAATTCCAAAAATCGGCTAGATATCATTCCCTCTTTTATCTAAAAATGATGCCATGTACCCAAATGACCACGCCATTTACCCAAAATGATGCCCATTGGCTGACTTGAGCATCATAAGGTACGTAGCTACTGTGGCCACCGAGGGAGGCCACCAGGTGCTCGTGCACATGCTCATGATCACACTGAAAGTAAGTTGCGTGGTGTTCGAAAAAAAAAAGTGCTCGAGGTGTACGAAACAAGTGTTACATAACTTCTTTCCTCTGAACTATACCTCCCTTTTTAGCTTCCAGCATGCTACTCAGGACGACAGAGTACAGGAAGCAATTACAGCATGCAACAAACTTCTTCAACTGCTTGTACTTGACCGATTGTACAAATTCTTGTGGCAGTCAATCCTTGAGGCAATAAACTCCAACATTAAACATACGAACAACTCAAGGAAATTTTGCAATCGTAAACAGCACGTAGAGCTTACGAGTGGAGTGTGAAGTTGCCACTTTGTCAAGCACCTTCTTTTCATACAGACGCCTGTCCTTTCCTTCCTCAAAACTGCTGGCAACAGATCTATTTCGTCATTTTGCAGACAGCTGCTATAGGCCAATATTTGACAAGAGCTGACATAAATCAAGAGCAGCACTTGCATCAGATGCGCTTTTTGCCATAGCGTGCTTCCATGTGCTGGCACGGTGCTCTAGAATGTGCTAATTATTTATAGAGTAGCAGCCCTAGCGTGCTCCATAGTTACACCAAAAATTTGTGAACACGTTTCATGTTGCATGATGACATGACTTCTCTCTCATGTCATTCCTCCAGAGTGGCTTCTAGTGCCTTCATTAGAATGAAATAAGAGAAAAAAGCACTTAAAGCATGCGGCAAGTCCCTCCACTCGTGCTTGACAGATTTGAAACGTTTGGTTGATTGACTGATTGATTGATATGCGGGGTTTGACGTCCCAAAACCACCATATGATTATAAGAAAGGTGGTAGTGAAGGGCTCCAAAAATTTTGACCCCCTGGGGTCCTTTAACATGCACCCAAATCTGAGCTACAGCATTTCCGCCTTCATCGAAAATGCAGTCGCCGACCCCGGGATTCGATGCCGCGACCTGCGGGTCAGTAGCCGAGTATCTTAGCCACTAGACCACCGCGACGAAGCAATGAAACATTCGGTGACAATTGATTTATCAGGCAACAGACTCCAATACTGAGGTAATTCGATAATTACTTGAAAACACATCCAGGACCCTTTTAATATTTAAGTATATAAGTTATATGCAATGTACAAATGCTAAAAGCAGTAACGAAATTCAAGATAAAAACTAAGCATGACTCACACGTTGATCCACACTCGCAAGCAGTCTACTGAATAGTCGTGTGTACTCGCCAATTCTTTTCAATGGAAGACAGAATAGCTGCTGCAAAACAGACTGTGAGCTGAGCCGACTTGTGTCACCAACAATATCCTTTGCAATATGGCTCAGGGCATTTGGGGAAAACCTAATAAAACAAACATTCATCATCATAAGCATATATTCCACAAAGTGTAATCGTTGATACACACAGAAGATTTCAAAACAGCAGTGACCTGGCATGCATCAAAGAATCAAGAAATCATGTAGCTAATATGACAAGTGACCATAATTGTACGAAAAGGACAACTGACTTCTGCCATACGAATACTAGCCAACCAAACATACCACGCAGAAATCAATTCAAGCAACCAAACATTGAAGCCAAAGGAAGCATAAGGGAAGTTATTTCTTTAATTTAACAGAAACAAAGAAAAGGACAGGGGGGAATAAATCTGAAAGAGAAGGCAACTTGATATAGGCTCGAGCTGAATACACACCTTCCACATTAAGAGTGTGGTGCCTTACATTTAGCTAGTACTGCAGCCATATGTTCTGTTCCTTGTATAAGTTATTAAATCTAGCCGTGGCTGTGTCAGCCAGTGCCGTTTATGGTTTGATTTTTACAGTTGTAATTAACAAAAAACCAAGTTTTTTGGTTCTCTCTTTTTTCTCTTTTTTTATTCTGCTCGCAGCGGTAAAGAGATGGTAAGAAGCGCTGATGCACAACCACCTAGTCCATAATTAAATCGCCTAGCTTTTTTCCTTATGCTGGAGGAACCACTTGATCAGCACATTTCAAGTAATTCAAATACATACTAGCTATCATGTTTATTTTAAAGTAAGAGTTAGAAAAAGCATGTAGAGGGTTCCAGTATTGGAGGAAAGGGCAAGATGCCTTTCAAGTCAGACCAGTGACACCGTGCTGCATGTACAGGAATAATATTTTTGACTAAAATTTTCATGAATGCCTTTTTTCTTAATGACCATAATATACCAACAAAGCCCCCAACCCCCTCACTCCCTCGACGTGAAAACAATGCAGGGAATGTTGGGGAGTAAGCTCATGCTTGGAACTGCCAAAAAATTTAAGATGGTGACCAATATATTACTGTGAGCAAAGCACACTCCACGACATCTCAGCAATGCTCCAGTGGTTCTGCACGAGAAGGTGGCAGCAGTTGGAGATGCAGTACGTCTGGCTCCGATCTGAGCCAGAGTATGCAATCTGAGTAAGCTCACATTGCTTACTGCGATAGGCTTGCGAGCGATAAGCCACCCATAACCACCATCTTGCCTTGATTCTTCATAAATCTAGTTCATGCCCAGTCCACCATATGTATTTAGTAATTGCCTACATTGAAGAAATTTTTTTTTTTAAGTAGGTAATGTATAATGCAGACTAACCATCATTTTGTCAATGCTCGGTTACTATATTTCCAGCTAGGGCAACATAAAATAACCCAAATACATGAAATAAGGTGCCCTGCACCCCACAGAGATATGTTGTTACTAAGAAATAACAAAAATACGACTGTTTAAGAACATTTCCCAACTTGACAGTCTATTGGCTGTATTTGTAGCTAACTCTACTAAACCATAGTGTTTTCATTCCTTCATGCACCCAGGGTCCCATTCCAACAAACATGCTTCTCAATGTCACCAAGGTTTGGGTGCACATGATTATACATCCGGTCAGCGGCGACTGGCGCAACACAGCGCTACATTATAATTTTTGCCATGCATTTCAAGTGAATACTGATAATAATGAACAATAACATGCACAATTTATTTCCATAATCACCAAACACAGACATAGCCACTACAGCAAGAAAGTCATAAACAAAATTTTGTTGTCAGTGCTCGTTTAGCACTATTATTGATTGATGCAGGAAAAATTAATGACATTGAATGTGAAAATAAAGTTAGTGAACTTACTACTATACTATCTACAGAACGAAAACTTGTACTCTAATTAGTATTGGTATTTAATTTGACACCACATACAAGCAACTTGGAATCCCTTTGCTATCTCACTTGACAAGCTATTATAACATTGATATCACTATTGGCCCTTCTGTCACATGTGTCTCCCTAGATAAGCAAGCTTGTATTACTTACAAATATTAATCCAAAAATATAACACACCTCTGCCATTTAGGATCCAGATCTCACCTAATCGATAACAATAAACCCCAGCGAAACTGTGCTATAAACTTCATACTGATTGATATTGTTACGGAAGAGAGATGCCATATCGAGGAGTCTATGGATAAAATATATTTCAAACCAGCAGCAGCAGCGGCGTGACCGGTAGACTGGACACCGAACGGAGACCACCCTTTGTTTTTCTCGTCAGGCACACACGCGCGTCACCCTCTAGAATCTCAGTTTGCATGCATGTAGCATAATCCCCGGCGGTAGAAGCGTCGTCTCGGCGCATCTAAATGTCAACGTCACTAGAAGAGTGGTAGGGCTTCAAACGCGCAACATGTACAATATCGGTAGCCTGTTGGGCACATGAAGGCGATGGGGCGACAGGACCAATTTAAATGTCACAGCAGGGGTAACCACACGAAGGACTCGGTATGGACCTGTGTAGCAAGTAAGCAGCCAACTTGACGGGTCGGAGACCGGAGCAGGACCAAAGAACCGGGCGGAAAGTGTACGTCGCAGTGACGTTGGTCATACAGACGCCGGTTGCTTCTCTTGAGAGGTCAGAAGGCGAGTATGAGTGATTTCATGTGTGTGAGCGGCCCGGTGATAGCATCCATGGCATATTCACTGGTCGGTACGGCAGGGGACGATATGACGGTGTCTAGAAGCAATGTTGGTTCTCGGCCAAACAACAGAAAAAAGAGAGAGTAACCGGCAGTGTCATGGCGCGAAGAATTATCGACAAATGTGACATACAACAACGCAAGATCCCAGTCGGTGTGGTTAGTAGAAACATACTTAGCGAGCATGTCTGTAAGAGTTCGATTTAGACACTCCGTGAATCCATTGGTTTGCGGATGGTATGAGGTAGTCAGCTTGTGTCTCGTTTGACAGGAGTGCAAGATGTCGGCTATCACCTTCGACAAAAAGGTGCGGCCATGGTCTGTAAGCAGCTGCCGTGGGGCTCTGTGTTGCAAAAGCACGTCCTTGAGGAGGAAGTCGGCGACGTCTGGGGCGCAGCTTGTTGGAAGAGCTCGTGTGATGACATAACGCGTGGCGTTGTCGGTGGCCACAGCTATCCACATGTTACCCGAGGAAGACAAGGAGGAAGGGACAAGTAGGTCCAAGCCAACGCGAAAGAACGGTTCCGACGGAATGTCAAGTGGTTGAAAGCATCCGGTGGGAAATGTCGATGGCGTTTTGCGGCGCTGACATTGCTCACAAGCCGCAATGTATCTTCTGACTTTGCGTGCAAGCCCTGGTCAGAAGAAGCGTCGGTGTATTCAGTCGTAAGTGCGTGAGACACCAAGGTGACCGGCAGTCGGAAGGTCATGAAGTTCATTTAAAACTTCCGAGCGAAGATGTTTCGGAATGACAAGCAGCACGGCCGGTCTATCCGGCTCGAAATTTTGGTGGTATAATACATCATCGTGGAGCACGAACGAGCGATGGGACTGATTGGAAGATGGTGATTCAGGGCGCTCAATGATAACGCACAAGGATGCATCACGGTGCTGCTCGTCACCGATGCATGTCATTTGCGAAAGAGAAAAGACGCAAAAGCCGGTGTCGGTGTCATGTATAGTGCCCGACTCAGAAACCGGGTAGCGGGACAGACAGTCTGCGTCCTGATGTAGGTGTCCAGAGTTGTACGTCACCGTGTAGGTATACTCTTGCAGTCGCAGAGCCCAGCGCCCGAGCCAGCCAGTAGGATCCTTCAGTGACGTAAGCAAACATAGCGCATGATGGTCAGTTATTACAGAGAAATTTGTGCCATATAAATATGGGCAGAACTTGGAGACTGCCCAAACAAGAGCGAGACACTCATGCTCTGTAATGAAATAGTTGCGCTCAGCAGCTGTGAGGAGGTGGCTAGCGTAGGCGACAACTCGGTCGTGTCCCCATTGACGTTGGGCTAGGACGGCTCCAATCCCGTGACCACTAGCATCAGTTCGGACTTCTGTCGGAGCGGATGGGTCAAAGTGATCCAATATAGATGGAGTAGTCAGAAGCGTGATTAGATGAGAAAAAGCAGCAGCTTGGTCGGTACCCCACGTAAACGTGACATCTTTCTTCAGAAGCTCAGTGAGAGGTCGAGCGATGGTTGCGAAACCTTTCACAAACCTTCTAAAGTAGGAACAAAGTCCTACAAAACTCCGGAAGTCTTTAACTGACCGGGTTACAGAAAAACTGGTGAATTTTCTCTGGGTCCGGCTGCACACTAGATGCGTCGACAAGGTGGCCCAACACTGTAATTTGCCGGCGTCTGAAGTGGCACTTCGATGAGTTTAATTGAAGGCCTGCGGTGCGGAATATGTCGAAAATAGCTGAAAAATGCTGAAGGTGATCTCAAATGTTGGGGAATATACAACAACATCGTCAAGATAACAGAGACATGTTGAGCATTTGAACCCTTGTAGCAGAGAGTATCATGCGCTCGAACGTGGCTGGGGCGTTGCATAGCCCAAACGGCATAACCTTGAACTGATATAGGCCGTCTGGAGTTACAAATGCAGTCTTCTCCTGGTCTTTTTCGTCGACAGCAATCTTCCAGTAGCCGGAACGTAGGTCTATTGAAGAAAAGTAGCGGGCGCCGTGAAGATAATCGAGAGCATCATCAATGCGGGGTAAAGGATAAACGTCCTTTTTTGTGATTCTATTCAGATGGCGGTAATCCACTCAGAAGCGCCACGTGCCATCTTTCTTTTCAACGAGCAGAACGGGGGACGCCCAAAGGCTCGAAGAGAGTTCAGTGATTCCCTTGGCTAACATATTGGTAACTTCTTGTTGAATTACTTTACGCTTCGTGGCAGACACCCGGTATGGGCGCCGATGAATGGGATGAGAATCACCTGTGTTAATGCGGTGCTTGACGAGTGAAGTCTGGCCGAGTGGACAGCTGTCTATGTCGAATATGTCGCGGCATGAAGCCAGAAGGCGGGAGAGCGCGGCTGACTTCTCAGGTTCGAGGTCCGGGGCGATCATGGAGCGTAAGGTTGCATCCAGGCATGTGGCATCCTGCGAGTGACGTGGGTGGTCGGGACATACGACTGCCGCAAAACAGGTGACGTGGTCGTCAATTGAGGGTCTTAGCGTGGCAACGGATATTCCTTGAGGTAGCACTTGTTTTATAAAACCGAAATTGATAACAGGTAAATATGTTCGGTTAGAGGCCATGGTTACGTTGGAGTGTGGGACAGTAATGTCACGCGCCAGGAGAACATCAGGAATAGGCGTCACGATATAATCACCGTCGGGCACGGGAGAGGGTGTTGTCAATTCAACGAATGTGAGAGCTTTAGGTGGTATCCGGAAGAAGTCAGTGGTGCACAGGCTATTCGGGAGTTCAGGGTGAGCATTCAGGAGAAGAGGAAGTTCTAAACAGAGAGTGCCGGCGGAACAGTCAATCAGGGCAGAATGCTTTGATAAGAAGTCCATCCCGAAGATGACGTCATGAGGGCAACTGTTGAGCCCGGTAAATAAAACAGGAACATGGCGGCCGGCAAGGCTAATATGAGCGGTACACATTCCAATGACGGCTACAGTTCCACCATCGGCGACACAGGCGGCTTGTGTTGCTGTAGGCGTGAGCACTTTTTTGAGGCGGCGACACAGATGAGCACTCATTACAGACACCTGAGCTCCAGTGTCAACTAAAGCCGTCAAAGAAAGACCGTCCACATGCACTTCCAGCAAGTTCTTATTAGCAGGTAGCATAAACGGAGGATTTGGGTCAGCCGCACTTGATGCAGCACTACCTCCAGGAGCTGCATAATCTAGTTTTCCATCCGGGAAGATCCATAGTTAGTCGGCGATGGATAGCGGCGGGGTTGGGGCGAAGGAGAACGGCGGCGTTACGGTGAAGGTGAATGCGCGGAAGAGTGGCTGTTGGGTGCGTCGGGAGCAGGATACTCACGGCTGGGTGAATATTGACGAGGGTCCGCGTATGGCTGAGGAGAAGAAGAAAATTGGCTCCAAAGGGGGAGGCGTCCAAGTGCTGTGGCAGTAGCGGGAGACATGGCCAACTCGGTGACAGCGGAAGCAAATTGGCTTGTCGTCTGCTGTTCTCCACTCTGTAAGAATTCGGGATCTGGGCAGAGTGTATGGGTCGAGGCATGGTGCATTTATTGGCATCGGTCTGTAGTCCGGTCAGGAGACGGAGCAGGCGACAGGAAAACCAAGGTTAGCAATTTCTTGCCGCACGACTGCCTGAATAACTGACACCGCCGGAGGTGTTTGCACAGTGTCCTGGTCGAGTGGAAGTGCATGAAACGGCGCCGGACGGGCCGCCTCAAGCTCGCGCCGAACGATGCGTGTGACATTCTCGTGCAAGGGTGGTGCGGCACCAAGATCGGTACAGGTTGACGTGACAGCCGTGTTAGGGAGCCGTGAAAATTGAGGCCGAACTTGGCGGTTTTTGGCCATTTGGAAGCGGCGGCATTCCTTAATTATGATATCGACGGTCGTGACATTGTTGTACACGAGCAAGTTGAAAGTGTCGCTCGCGATTCCCTTTAGTATATGGCCCCCCTTGTCGCTCTCGGTCATTTGCTCGTCTACTTCGTGGCACAATGCGAGCACGTCCTGTATGTACGAGACATACGACTCGGTTGATGACTGTACTCGGGTGGCGAGTACTTGTCGTGCGGCCGTTTGTTGAGGTCCCCAAAGATGTCGCGTAGTCGGTCCTTGAAGATGTCCCAGCAGGTGAGCTTGGCCTCATGAGCGTCAAACCATACACCCGGGGTGCCATCCAAGTAAAAGATTACGTTGGCGAGCATCATAGTTGGGTCCCATCGGTGAGACAGGCTAACGCACTCGTACATGCGGAGCCAGTAGTCGACGTCAAGGCCAGGCTGGGCGGAGAACATACTGGGATCACGGGGGTGCGACATCGCAAAGTACGTAGTAGCTGGCGCTCCAGGTGATGGCGGTGAGGGGGGTTATCATTAGAAGCCATGGCCGAAGGCTGGACGGTGCGGCCACTGCGAAGCTTCGTGGTGAGGACGGGGAACGTTCCACCTCCACCAAATATGTTACGGAAGAGAAACGCCGTATCGAGGAGGCTATCGATGAAATGTATTTCAAACCAGCAGCAGCGGCGTGACCGGTAGACTGGACACCGAGCGGAGACCACCCTTCGTCTTCCTCGTCAGGCACACACACGCGTCGCCCCCAGAATCTCAATTTGCATGCATGTAGCATTATGTCACTCTAGTGTTGCAGCAATACAAAGTCATGCTCATTTAAGGGGGCAGACTAGTCTTAGACATTTCTTTGTTTACTTCTTCAGTGATCTTGATGAAAACTGCACAGGATTATGCAGTTTTTTCTGCTGAATTCAAATATTTAATTAGTTTTTCTATAACTCATCTTGTTCTTGACATAACTTAAATTCACCCCCTATTAATTAAGGCCGCCATAGAAAAAAGTGCTTAAATAAAAGTGATATTTAAGATACGCCGACATAGGCTAACGACTATAGATTGAAAATATGCAAGTTTTTTTTGTTTTTAGGCCTTTCTTGGTTATCTTTACAGTAAAATGAACTATTCCTTTTCAAAAGCAGTTGGAATTGTGTTATAATTTTGACGAGTAATTAACTAAAAATGCTTGGGCACTAAATTCTGCTTCCATACTTACATTCTACACACATACAGGTTTCCATTGCAAAAAGAATGATTGTTCCACCAGACCTAGCTTAGAATTAAACTGTCGTAAATTTACTTTTTTGAGAAAAATGAAAGAACTGAAAACAAACAGCTTCTTTAAAAAGCAACAATCATGGTGTGCATGTTTTGCAATCCTCATAAAGGTGCTAATAAATTCGTAGCAGAGCTTCTAACACAAGTGCAGGCAAATTATAAAGAAGCCTCGAAGTCGGTTACCACTTTTTTTTACAGGTTTTGCAACTTAACAGCACCAAGAATCTTGACAGTTAGAATAACATTACAAAAAATTACCACTTTCTGGTGTGTGAAAATTTGCAGAGAGATAAAAGGATATTTGCAGAAACGAAATATGTCAATTTTTAGAAATGATTTTTTTTTGTCACTTTTTGGTCCCAAAGACCAGCCTGCCCCCTTAAAAAGCTTATCACAATCCTGATGTAGCCCAACTTTCACTGTTTGGTAACATTACTATGAAGAAGGAAGAAATCGAAAGGATCAGGTGTGCCAAACATTTAGTAGTGCACGCATGACGAAAAGCTAAATATGTATGTAGGTTCCCCACAAAAGTAGCCAAAAATCGACAAAAAGCATAGGTTGGCCCCATTACTAATTTAAGCTTAGCATAAAGGTAACTGCATGCCCCATATCAACAGCCCATGCCAACAATGCTGCTAATTAGCCAGCATGTTATTCTCTATCTCAAAAGTAACTTGCAGCACTGCTATAGCTACGACATGTATGCAAGCCATATCCTGGTCCAGCAGAACATAGTAATAGTTATCATTGCCTGGTCATTGGCAGGATTGAGGGTTATAGGTTTGTTTGGTATATTTCAGGTTAAAGGGATATGCAATATGTTAGGTGCGATTTGCATATATGTTGCACAAGTTTACTATACATTCTTAAACAGCTGGTACTGCTAGTTATGATGCAATATAGTTGCATACAAAACATTTATTAATTTATGAATTGCCCATTTCCCTAAGAGTTGAAACAAGGCATCACTTTGTGTCATCCAACACAGAGGACAAAGTGTCAGGTATGTCTTCATGCTATTAGGCCCATCGACGCAATGCCAAGTTGTAAAAATGGTTTGATGGCACAAGAGTGCCATCATTGCTCATGTGTGGAATGACCTAAAAGCCATATTATTCAGAGCACTCATTATTCGCTACTCCGCTCAAGTATAAATATCTGGGTTTTGGAAAGCAAGCACCACCTACACACCAAGCAGAGGATGACCCACATGTAAATGTAATTGGAGAGGTGTTCACACTTTACTGTTGGATAACTAGGCTGGAAGGCACAGCTGAGAGAAATTATAGATAGTTTAGAACCTCACTGTTATGTTTTTGTATATGCAGCATATGATTACAGTGCCAAAGCATTTGATTCAATAACACACTAAGGCAATGTGTATCGACAGAGAAATGAAGTGCCTCTCAGCAGATAATGTGGCACTAATGAACACATCATGATGGCTTTCACCTTTCATGATGACTAAAATGCCCTACACCTTCTACAGTTCTGCAAAGAACTACTGAGACAGAATATAATATGCTGCTTTTGGTTTTGCGAGCGTTTATGCAACATGTAACAGTAATATATCACAAAACAAAAACTTACAAAGGAGTCTCCAGTTCTTTGAATTTAGCACTGTGAAAAACAGTCATTTCAAGTTAGAAGTATCAATCACAGGTTTGCACGCATATTACGGAACCTAGACACCAGCTTTCCTCCAATGCATTTTTTATATGGCATGCATTTCCAATAAACTGATTCACATGTTTAATGAAAGTTTGTAGCCCTGTTTGTGTGACTGACACACAATTTAACCTGCAGATAAATATGTGAAGCTTGATCAATGTATTTGTTGACCACATTCATTTCACAAAGTAGGTACTCAACAAGTAACAATTTTCCTCATTTTTTTATTTAGTAAGGGAGCCATAAAACATTTTTCTAAGTGATTAGGATTGATATGTGGGGTTTAATGTCCCAAAACCACCATATGATTATGAGAGACACCTAAGCAATTAAGAATGAGTGCTGCTAATGCATGAAAAAAAAATGAAACTCAATTGTTTTTTAAAGGGGCCCTGCAACACATTTTGAGCATGTTATAGCGCAGCCCACAACCTGGAAATCGCAATAAATTATCAAAGTCAGCTAGAAATTGCTTTCTCTTCGCTCGAAAAACCACGGAATATGTCCAAGAATCAGACATAAACGACCTATTTGTCAACCATTGGCTGATTTGAACATGGCATGCTCGGTTGTTACAGATCGCACTGAAAAAGCCGCATATTCGAAGAAAAAAAAAGTGCTCAAGGTCACAAGGCGAGCGTGACGTTGTTTGTTTGCCCCTCCCATCCCTCCCTGCTTAGCTTCCTGCTTTCGTCGGGATGAGAGAAGAGAGAATGCGATTGCAGCGTGTGACGAATATTTGCAACTCTGCTCATACGGGACAGATTCTTGAAATTTTTGCAGCGTTGAATTTGTGAGGCAAAATGCTTTTCCAGTGAATTAATTCCATGGTTACTCAAAAAAATGTTTTAGGGCCGCTTTAAGCTTTCTGCCAGGAGGTGCCACTATCAAATACGACTATGTGTTACAGCCAAAAAACTATAAATTGCTGTACTGAGACATGCCTTGGTACCTTCTAGCCCCATCGTACCAATGCATACCTAGCTATTCGGTACCTTTGACTTAGCAGCTCACATATTGCTTCGAGAGCACGGAAAAAAGCATTATACTTGTGTTAGAGAAAGCTTACACACCCTCGTTCAGTTGCAGTTTCAACAAATAATTTAATTGATATGTGGGGTTTAACGTCCCAAAACCACCATATGATTACGAGAGATGCCATAGTGGAGAGCTCTGGAAATTTCGACCACCTGGGGTTCTTTAACGTGCACCCAAATCTGAGCACACGGGCCTACAACATTTCCACCTCCATCGGAAATGCAGCCGCCGCAGCCATGATTCGAATCTGCGACCCGCGGGTCAGAAGCCGAGTACCTTAGCCACTAGACCACTGCGGCGGGGCAGTTTCAACAAATGCCATGTTAATTACCATGCCATAAAACTACACACATTTGAGATATAAGTATTAAAGATATATGCTAAACTAATTAAAAGAATTGAGAATAAAAGTCTGGAGTGACCCAGCTACCAAGAACATTAACATTCTTTGGCACGATCAGTAATACACTCAAACACTGATATGACAAACACAGATACAACGAAATACGAGTTATAATAAAGTAAATGGAAAATAGTCTTCTAATAAATAGTGGGTTAGGAATATACCTCTAAAACAAATTTTTATATATAATGCACTTATTTTTGAGTAAGATGCAACTTCTTTAAAATGAGATACAAGGGTACTACTAATTTATTCCTCCAAAAGCCCATTAACATAAGCCTACATACAAATGTTCAAGACAGGGACATGGGTTACACAGTAAACTATAACATACAAATCAAAACATGGGATTTTAGATTCCATGTGTAAACTTTAATTCTACTTTCACTCCCGACCCTGTCATACTTAAATATACTCTTTTTCTTTTCAACAATAAATATCAACATAAACATAGAATGAATGCTGCTCAATTATTTAAAAAATTCTTCTATGCTTTCATTTACTTTAGTGACAACATTTTATACTCAAATGACTCATTCATTGAGCAGTACTTATTAACAACTTTCGAAAAGTTTAGTGAAATTATAAGCACATAACATACTTAAGCAATATTGCTGCACCAAATACAAACTGGACTACAAAGGTAAAACTGCAAATGCTGTATTTAATGTGGTTAAACGTACGGTTAACAAACAAGCTCCACACAGTAGGGTCATTCCACGCGAAACAGCCCAGACATTTTGGTGACCGTCTCAAATGTATTAGAAAAAAAATTGTACTGGTTTACTGAATCGAAAATGGTGAACTGCTAGGATATTTGGGGCAGAAAAAATTTTTGGGTCACGTGGATTATCTTCTGAACTTTCCAGAATGTTGCCTGGGTATTGTTTGGAAAAATATTTATTTTAAAACTACCGCTCCCTCTTTATCTATCAAATTTAGTCTACATGTTAATTAAAGATGCTTGTTTAAGGTGTTTGAATCTCAGTAATAGTAGTGCAATTTTTCTACCACATATGCTTCCAAGAATTTAGCCAAAATGTGTTATGTTTGCATTTTTTGTACTGTGATACTGCACTTTGTATGAATACCTGAGCAATGAATACTCACTCCACATTAGGTATATTTTGTGTAAAAAAAAAATATTTTTAGACCTTTCAAGCTATTAAACTTTATGAGAAAAAATCACAGAATTCACAAAATTGTCACTTTAGCCCATATTCAGACACAATTTGCACCATGTGGTGGTCCAATTAAAAATCACTTTTATACCTAAATCGAAAGAAAATAAACAGTTTTTTTATGTGGCAAGTTTTTATGTGGCAAGTTTTATGGCAAGTTTTATGTGGCAAGAAAGTAAATAATTTTTGAAGTTTCCCATTGACTTAAAATGGGTAACTTCAAGGTAGAAGCTGTTGCATGATCAAAAGGGAAGATAGCCGTCAATTAGAAACTTTAAAAAATATTTTCTTTCTTAAAAAAACTGTAATATTAAAACTTGCCATATAGAAAGAACCTTTTATTTGCATTGGATTTAGGCACACAGGTAATTTTTAATCGGACCACCACATGTAGCAAATTGGGTCTCAATATAGACAAAAATGACGGTTTTGTGAAATTCATGATTTTCTCTCGTAAAGTTTATAGCTTGAGGGGTCTATGAATATTTTTTCCATAATATATACTTTCAGTGGAGTTAGTATTCATTGCTCATATATTCATACAAAGTGGAGTACTGCAATAAAAAAACATAACAAATTTTGGCAAAATTCTTGGAGGCGTATGTGCAGAAAAATTGCATTGGTATTACTGAGCTTCAAACACCTTACACAAGCACCTTTACTCAACATGTAGACCAAATGTGATATACAAAGAAAGAGCGGTAGTTTTAAAATAATTTTTTCCCCAAACAACACCAAGACGACATTCCGGGAAGTTCAGAAGGTGCCCACGTAACCAAAACATTTTTTTCTGTGTGAAATATCCTAACAGTTCACTGTTTTCAGTGCAATAAACCAGCATGATTTTGTTTGAACACACTTAAATGGTTGCCAAAATGGCTGGGACGTTTGGCGTAGAATGACCCAGTAGTAAAATCAAAGAGATGGCACACATTTTAGCATGCACAAAGTAATAATTTCATCACTCACACCAGCATTCTAGACAGCGATGCAAATCCTCCAACTGCCGTAAAATCTGTGACTGCCTTAGTATAAGACCAAAAGGCATCGATCCAGGTGTCCTTCTTCTCCATGATTGAGAGGGCACAAGAAAAATGGCCGCTTTGCAGAAGCAAGGTCAAGTCATAAGCATTTGCAGATAGAAGTGACACAAGAACTTCTGAGGTACTAATAATGCTCTTCAGAGGCTTGCAAGCACAATCTGGAATGTCTGAAATTATGTTTCCTATAAGAGGACAAGGAAATGCAAAGTGTTAGATGTCAGTGAGAGTTCTACAATGATTCACTGAAATGTAAGGCACACCCACACCACTTCTACTAAAGCAACAACTAAACAATAAGCACTTCATCTTAACTAAATAGGTTCACTCTTGGTGTGAATAATGGCTCTATGAAAATGCCAATGCACAATCACTCTCGCAAGACTGAGCTCAAGCATCCTCAGTCTTATCTTTCAGCAGATTATCCACAAAAGAGAGTTCACAGCACCTAAAACTTTGTTCGCCCCTTGAACATGCCTTAATAGTTGTGACCTTATCATTTTGATAGGATGTGTTTATATAGTGCACGTGCTCACCAGTCACAACAGCGGTTCACAAATACATTTTGTTCATGTGGAAGAACTAGTGTATATATGCTTTCTTAATATATTATGCATAGGCTCTCCTATATATTTTCACACATTATCCTGCTTACATATTAATCACATGAAATCAACTTACTGTAATTATTTAAATATCTATCGAGCTTTTTGTTTCCACCGAAAATGTCAGCTATGATTAGCTATCTAGTACTTATATTTGCGACCACTTAAGGTTAACCTATGCTTTAGCAGAGTGTGACGTTGGGCGAGTTGGTGCATAGCTTAATAAAGTGATGGTGGCGCAACAGATACTAGCAAGGAAAAAAGAAGGAGACAGGATAGAGCGCCAGTCTTTCAACTAGTTTATTTTCCTCGCATCACCCAAACATATATGCTTCCAGTATGCACACAAGGAGGGGGCGCAGCACAAGCGACTATCACTTTGCACACAAGAAAACCTAAACGGAAGAAAGCTATCGCACAGCGCTATCTAAAAACAGGCATTACTTCTTGTATAAAGTGATTCACAGGACACTGACGCATTCGTTCCCCTTCCTTTGTATGTGGTACGCCTGCAGTACTTCACGTGCTAACGTATCCCTGCTTCGTCCTAACACACGTGTCTCTCGGTATAGTGGTGCGCAGCTGCACAAAGCACAATGTAACCGCAGGTGTGATTCCACGCCATTCTTAATTGGTAAGATATGCTCTCTAAGGTGATCATTAACACAGCGTCCTGTTTGGCCTATATGCACCTTGCCACAGCTAAACGGAATTAAATAATTAACACCCACTATGCAACGCAGAACTGGCCGAGCGTGCTTCTTTTCGCATAAAAGGTTCGCTTTCTGCAAACAAATGCGGGCACAGAGCTTCGACAGCTTGTTCGGTGCCGAGAAGACCACTATAACGTCATGCCTGTTTGCAACTTTCTTCAAATTGTGGGCAATTTTGTGCATGTAAGGCAGAACCAGTGGTTTCTTTTTCCGCACCCTCCTTTTCTATGCTCCCACCTTGTGCCAGTGCAGCTGCCCATGCCAGCACATTTTGCAGAGACATTGTGTCAACAGATCAAACTGAAAATGAAATTGTCATACACAGAACCATGATCACTGTATGTTGTATGCTGTCGCCAAGTTTTGAGAAAATGTGGACGCTCCAAGGCCATGCTCTTGCTCACGTGGAACTAGGATGAAATGGTTGCATGTGTGTGTGTGTTTGTGTGTGTGTGTGTGCGTGCACGTGCGTGTGTGAATATACAGGCTGTCCCACACAACTTGAGCCGAAAATTTGAAAATGAAAGCCACTTCAGTGGCGAATCGAACCAAATGCGTACTACTCGCACTAGCCTGTGGATACTCAGGCTATTTTTTATTTCTCCACATACTAAATATTATATTTTTAATTACCTATTCTTAATTATGGGCTAAAAACCCACAATATGAACACTGAGATGTAGAGCACTTTCAGAAACCACTGACAAAATTGTTTCCTGTACGATACGTCTAGTGCTGTTATTTTTTCCGCATTGTAAAGAAAGCCTATAGCAGCACTATAGCAGTGCACTCGCGGCTTGTCCCACGGCTTCTTTTCACGTTTTGTGGGCTTTCTTTACAACGTGGAAAAAATAACAGCGCGAGACGTACCGTGCAGGAAACAATTTAGTCGGTGATTTCTGAAAGTGCTCTATATCATAGTGTTCATATTTTGGGTTTCCAGCCCATAAATAAAAATAGGTAATTAAAATTATTAATTAATTAGTATGGGGAGAAATAAAAATTGTCTGAGTACCTACAGTCCAGTGCGAGTAGTATGTTTGGTTCAATTCACCTCCTAAGTGCCTTTCACTTTCAAATTATTGGCTCAAGTTTTGTGGGACACCCTGTATACACACACCCACACAGAGTATTTTACTCTCTGTGTGTATGAGTAAAAGTGCATTAATTTGACACCTGCTAATTCTGAAAGTGGATAACTTGGGCATATTCTGTGGTCCCTGCAAGCATATGTATTGTTTAATGACATCAAACTCTCAGTAACATGGTCATAGTTGGCCACAGCCTAGTTATTTCGAGCGATTCTCGAAGCACGATGAGTGCAAAGTGCCACAAATGTGCAACGCAAAGATTTGAAAACAGCGTTCGCAGACAACCTAAACAAGATGGCACAGTCTGCATCGCCATTGTAATCAGTAACCATATGATAATGACAATAATCACGTTTCTGGCTAATTTCAGGTTGGCCCTTTTGAGGTAGTTAAGACAGGAAAGTGTTGAGCTGCAGTCACACCTTGAACAAAGCAGCAGGTGGCAGAAATTGTAGTTTTTAAACTTCTCTTATGCAAAGCCAGTACAGGATTTACATATTCACTAAGAAAATGAAAGTGTATAACCATAACAGACATTTTTTGTTTTTGTGACATTTTTGACAGTATATATATATATATATATATATATATATATATATATATATATATATATATATATATATATATATAAATAAGGGAAAGAAGTGTATACCTAAGGGCTCGTTTTTCCGTGTTTTAACACAATATTAATGAGATCTAACAGACAGTAATGCCAAGGAATGTACAGGGGAAGTTATTAGAACCAATTGAATGTAAATAAGAAGAAAGAAAAGTGGATGAAAAAATAACCAGCCGTGAGCAGGAATCGAACCTACGACCTTCGAATAACGCGTTCGATGCTCTAACCACTGAGCTACCACAGCGGCCTTCCCTCCGTCCACTTTTTTGGGTTTATATGTGAATTTAGAAGTAGGAGTGACAGTCAGCGCCATCTATAAGCCAAACGACGAGTGTGAAGACACTCTTATGCGCATGTTTGGCGTCACGTAGCACGTGAACTTATTATGAGCGGGCAGCCGATTAATTGTCCCTCTTATGAAACCTAAACACACCAAGTCTGCCATTACGAGACCCTCGTTCAATGAAATAAGGGAAAGAAGTGTATACCTAAGGGCTCGTTTTTCCGTGTTTTAACACAATATTAATGAGATCTAACAGACAGTAATGCCAAGGAATGTACAGGGGAAGTTATTAGAACCAATTGAATGTAAATAAGAAGAAAGAAAAGTGGATGAAAAAATAACCAGCCGTGAGCAGGAATCAAACCTATGACCTTCGAATAACGCGTTCTATGCTCTAACCGATGCTCTATATATATATATATATATATAACACAACACACATAGGGTGCTCCACTAACAGGATGCCCCTGATCAAGCCAAAGTGTATATATATATGCCGACACATTTTATGACAGCACAACCAAATACATGTTGCTGACTGCTGAATAGAGTATGTCAAGTTTCCGATTAAACAGCCTCCTACTTTCTGCAATGGTCAACATATCTTTCCTAAAATTCTGACTAGTTGAATATTTTCGGACTTTATAAATGTACAGTCAAGGTTCCCATGACCACATTGTTAAATCCCACCAAACGAATGAGAAGCCCTATGCATCCTTTTCCGACCGGCATCATGTTATGTTTACTTAGTGCCATGCAGCCACCAACTGTGCTGCCTGCAAGGGTCAGTATCATCGATTGCCAACGCGCTGACAGTGTTATCGCAGCCAAAATACAACCAAATTTGCTCGTCCCTAAGAACAGCATGAAGCTTGGCATTAGTGAAATATTTTTAGACTTCTTCAATCCAAATAAACTTAATTTTCATGTTTTTCAACTATTTTGCGGTCCCTGCCAAGTCTGGAGAATCGGTTGGCAACTGTATCTACTAAGTATTAGTGTTTTTCTGCTTCTTGCAGATGCCCATGACAACAAAAAAATTTACGGCACGCCAACTTGCGCACCGCAGTTGCAGCACTCTTGACGTTCCGTCTGCAAACTCCAATAGCATTCAGCTACATGCGACAGGACAGCGGCAATAGTGGTGTCTTAGCGATGATATACCTTTGCTAGCAGCTACACAAACAATAACCTCTGTGCCTGCTCATTGTTGCCATGAACCTCGACAAGGGAAGCCAATCATTTGTGCATGAGAAATTAGGGAACATTGAAATATAGTGCACAAGCAGGTGTGTCACGCAGAATATTATATTTTATTTATTTTTGTGGACATTTGCACTAAGCAGAAAAGCACGCATACATAATGAACATAAAGTAAAAAACTGACTATTTAGGTATTCTGCGAACCGATCTACAACTTTCTCACAGGAATTTATTGTCCAACTTCATTGGCCTAGAAGCCGATTATATGCCCCGTCGCGGTGGTCTAGTGGCTAAGGTACTCGGCTGACCCGCATGTCACGGGATCGAATCCCGGCCGCGGCGGCTGCATTTTCGATGGAGGCGAAAATGCTGTAGGCCTGTGTGCTCAGATATGGGTGCACGTTAAAGAACCCAAGGTGTTCTCCATTTCCGGAGCCCTCCACTGCATCGTCTCTCATAATAATATGGTAGTTTTAGGATGCTAAACGCACATATCAATCAATTAGAAGTCAATTATTCAATCTTACCTAATTAAGCAATTAAGTACACTAAATATAGTGTGGCATACTCCATTCAATAGTGCGCAACATGCATTCGGTTGCATCGTCATAAAGTTCATTGACATATTTTTAAACTCTGGCAAGAATTAGCTGGGGCACCCTGCATATGGGCTCTGCTTATTGTAAATGAACATGTGTCAAGTTCCAATTTTTCCATTTTGCAAGAGCTATAAGGGCACCTATATTCCAATACTTCTATTTTTATTTTTGAGTGTATACAGTAGTTACTCTTTCATTCTCTCATTAAAAGTAAATCGTACATTCTCATACATTCTCAGACCTTTCATATCCCTTTCAGGCAGGAATCATAATGCACTGTCTACAAATATGTCAAATTCACAAAACATACTTCCAAGCTGTTCAGTATTACATTCCAAGAACCAAAATGAAGTATCGTGTTATTTTGTGTGAGTTTCAGCAATTCATTGTAATTAGCATGTAGTTAAATACCTTGTAATGCTACTGTCAGTCATGCTTCATTTTGAAATAAAAAGAATGAAATCATAGGCTACGAATGTGATGTGAGCGCAAATAGTTTTCGGTTGCATTTATTTCGAGAAAAGAAAATTCTGACGGTTCTGAAACGCGGCATGAACGCCCCTTAAATCGTGGTGGCTTCACGAAAGTAATCGGCTGCAGTCATATGAGGTTAAGTCAAGACGTTTTGGTTATGCAAAAGGTTCAATTCATCTAATGAGAAATTTATTTAGCATTTTTGTGAGAGCAAATTGACACAACTAACATAAACAAGTTCCATGCCAAAATGAAGCCCCCGCCACAAAAGTCAGAGATAGATTTGTGCTACATATGCCTACATTGGTTCACACAAAAACAGCATCACGAACTGCCCTAAAGATGTCCACCTTTTCTAATAGCGAAACTGATGCAAATAGAAGAGAACAAGTACCGTCTTTCACAAGATGGAGAAAAACCTTGTGCTGGACTGCACAGAGGTTGCTAAGGCAACGTCGCTCTGATGCACCAAACTCGTAAAGTGCTTGAACTTCATCTGTCTCTTTCAGGTTAATCAGGCAGCCAGATGAATGTCCACCAGCAAATACACCAGTAACAAGCCCACCCTGAAAAAATGTAAATCCGTAATAATGTTACCAAAAGAGAGACACCGAAATAATATTCAAGCATGCTACAAATCCAGAAAATCCAAGCGATGCCAACAATGCCACAGATAATAGCAACAAGTGCACAAATTTTGATGGTTTTGAAGGTGGACAGGGGATGAACTGAAAAGCGGCTGATGACAAAGCACTTGTTCTCTGTCCTCACTCGTCTCCTTCACAACTTTAGCTCATCGCTATTATCCTTGAGATGTTCAACAACCAGCCCAACAATGCTCATTGGTAAAACCAAGTGCATTATTACACAAAATAAGATGAGGCAATAATGTTCACTTAAGAGAGATCTTTCTCAGGTAAAGCTATGTTCCAGCTTATTGTAACATCAATGAAACGTAGAACATGAAAAACTTTGCATGTTGCCAAATGCAGACAGTGCAACTATTCACAATCAAGCCATTACACTGTTGTGCCTCAGCAGTACAAAAAATATGCCACAGTGCAGCCTGCCAAGGTGAGAAAATCAGTAACAAACTAAAAATTTTAGGTGCACAACAAAAGGGCAAAGAAAGGCACAAACAAGCAGCCTTTCTTGATCCCTATCTTATTCGGGCCTTTTGTATCATGACCCCCCCTCCCCCCTTTCCCCAACTAAAGAATACATAATTCAAAAACAGATAGTTCAGAAAAGCTCATAGTAAAAAAAGCATGGTGCTGTTCAGATAGGCGTAGTCTGGACAGCATAAGCATTGAAATTACAGTAGAGTACTAAATAACATGGTGCACTACACGGTGGGAAACTCAAGTCCCAAATGTTACATGTTTCTAACCTAACAGCATGCTGCCATGCATCAAGAGAGAGAAGCGGTAATGAGATGATGTAGCACTGAGAAAACACAGACACAAACTTGCACACACAAAGAGATGAAAGCAAGCAATGAGGACTCGATGACACATAAGAAACATGCTACATAAACATGCTAGAAATGTATGAATGAGAAATAAAGATAGTAATACACATGAATGTTGACTGCTTGGCAGTTAAGCTGCATCTGACACTGCATTACTGCCCATTGTGCTATAGCTTCCGCAGAGTAAGCCACTGAAAAAAAAAGACCGCATCACGGACTATACTTACCATTTACATCATGGAAAAAAGCACTATTTAATCACTCGTGGTAATTCTAAGCATATCAACATAGCATCATGGTATAAATTGCAGCGCATAAAGACGACACACAAAAGAGGGAGGACGCAGGACAAGCGCTGAATTAGCAGCTTGTGCGTGTCGTCGTTATGCGCTGCATTTTGCACCATGAGACTGAACTAACTCACCCCGTTTCATGTCCTGCTGCACTGCATATCAACATAACAATATCAACACACGATATGCTCATTTAGCTACCATATCAGGGAACCATTTAAATATGCCCAAGCTATGCAAGCCAAACTTACAATTTTACATTGGTCTTTAGTCGCATGCCCAACTCCCAACCTTGTGAAATCTTGCATACTTTCAAGCATTTTTCATAACTAGAGACCAGATTTTAGGCAAATGTCCAATTTGTCCCTTGCATTCCTACCATGCCACGTAAATATTGAGCACGATTTAGAGGTTAAGGAGGGCTTTTACAGGGTTTTTATAGTGCCTATTAATGCCTATTTTCGACATTTGTACGTAAATTTCTATAAGGGCCTATAAATGCCTTTTTTTTATATTTGTGCCCAAATTCCTAAAAAAGGCCAACAAATGCCTATTTTCAAAATCGGTGTTTATATGAACACTATTTAACCACAAATCTAGCTTTTGAGTACACTTCAAGACCAGTATTCACGTTACCGGGCGAAATTGACCTTTCGAAACTCTATGGGGTGCAACCTATACTCCATCTCAGAAGTCATTCAGCACCTTCAAGGCTACAAGGCCCCTCAGCCAATAGAAAGGCTGATTAGCCTCTACACATGTATTCATCTGCGTCATGCTGTCTGCTTGAGATCTCCTTGGCGTCCTGTTCACACCCGTAAGAAAGAGGGGGTGCGTCTGTGCAGCCGCAGGACAGCGCAGAACGAATGCGTAACCGTGGAATGTCATCAGGGGAAAGTAAAGTGTAGGTAAAAAAAATAATCACATGTCCCCATCGTTTTTGTCTTGTCATTTTTTTACTTAAAGGGCGCTTCACCAGGTCACATCAGAACATTTAGTTAGACACTCGAAGTTGTTGTGTGCCCAATAAAAAGTTTTGTACCCCAAAAATTATTCAATTGATTCAGTACAAGCTGCGAAAGCAAGATGCAAGGAAGTGAGCTTAAAACCTTTGCTGCCCGCCCTGTGCAGACTTTGCAAGCCAAATTCCTTCTTTGCCCTCTTCGGTATCAGAGCAACTCGGAAGCAGATCACACGACGCATCATACACACACAAGGTTACATTCACACGACATGCCCGAGCCAAGTCGTGCACGCAAGCGGTGTTGTGTCGTTTCGCCGTTCTCTGTAGGATACTGCCTCTTTCAGTGGGATGGATCCCTCAATGTGCACATGTTTGGAGACGCTTGCATTGATCATGTATCCTTACCATGATACACAGTGTCGCACCGCTGGAACTGCTCTAAGAGACAATGCACCAAAAACATGCCAAGCGTTGTCAGGGCTGGCCCTGGCACAATGCGAATGGCGAGAACACAAACAAAATGGAGGCAGCTTCGTCTCGCATCTCGCTCGATACAAAGTAAACAAAAAGAATAACTCACACAGATTCCATTTGTATGTTTTAATATTTCTATCACCCTTCATACTTCTATTCAAGCAACAAGTTGCACAGGTTGCACATGTCGCCTTGAATAATTCTCGCTGTGTCAAGTACTGCTTCGACATACACAGGACCATTCCTTGTTATACATCCCCTCTATCATGCTGGAGTGCGCGCCCATTAGATGAAAGACAAGCAGCGTTCAGTTTGACATTTCACCTATTTCTGGGGTGCGTAGCGCTGCAGATTTAGGCAGACGAGATCGCGAGCGCTGAGTGCATGCATTTCTTTTGCCTGCTCTAAACGCTAAAACATGGTGAGGGGCCACTTAAGGTGTTCACAAACAGAAGAGAAATTGCCTCTGTGCAATTACACTTTGTTATTACGAGGCTCGAAGACCCTTTCAGCGGTCTAGTTGATTGCCTTTGTGTTGCCCTTCTCAGCCACACCGTAAAGAAAGAGACCCATGATTGTGTTGTGTTTATTCAACAGTCAAAACTTCACTAACCATGCTACACAGAAAAAGGAGAAACATTTAAACGTAGCACAAAAGACACAGAAAAGGAGAACACAAACACAGCACTGTGTTTGTGTTCTTCTTTTCTGTCTTTTGCCCTACATTTAATTATGGAATATTACAAACTCGCCCAGCAAAACACCCTTCTAAAGGAGAGACCGTGTTTAGCAAACCGTGCAGGAAAAACGTGCATGGCTATGCTAAATCATTGGCACCTTTGTAGCATCATAAACTAAAACTATTTTTTTGCTTTCCAGTCGTAGACACAGGTCCTGCATTAATTTTTGTGAAAATTTCAGTTTTTGTAAAACTTTACAACACCTATCTTTACGATTTTGGGGGCTTAAACTACGTTTTGCCCGCCTACTTTGGTGCCTAAAACCAGTGCCTATATATCCGGCCTCTAGTCATGATCACTGCCCATATATGTTTACCTCTATTTGAAACATGCTTTTTTTTACTTTTTTTTTTACTTCTCTCTCTTACTCCCCCCTCCCCCTCCCCATGTGTAGGGTAGCAAACTGGACGCATAGTCTAGTTAACCTCCCTACCTTTCCTACATTCCTTCTCTCTCTCTCTTACTATAAATATTGTTCTGCTTTATTTAACAATGCATTCTGCTTCTATATGTCAAAATGGTTCAATAGCAGGCAAGTATTGTTGTAAGCTGTTCTCTTGTTACTGATGCAAATGCAAAATATTCATTCTAATCAGAGTTCTTTGAATGTAAACCTGCATATGCGTTACCAATGCCGAAATTTTCATGGACTTGTGGAAAGCCTACTGAATATTCCAAAACTAAGAAAAAGTTTATTCATACATATAATTATGAAAAAATAAATATCTGGACACTGATTAACTATAAACATCTTAGAACTGCTGCACTTGCCCTGTTTTCTGATAATCATGGAAATGTCTGTTTTTCTCACAGTTAGGAGTAACTAGAATATCATGAAATATGAAAAGTGGTAAATAATTATAAAGGAATGCATGACAAAAAACACCTTTTTCAACACCATCACTGGAACGACTGTCTTGGATCCTTCACATCGGTATGGCCTGTTCATACACCTAAAAAAACAATGAATATGCAACATAAACATACTAGTCATATTTAAACTATAACTAAAAAGTTGCAAGCATAGATAATGCACACATTACATAGATCCTGCATCCTTAAGCAATTATGTTACACAAAGTATTTACATGTACCTAAGATTATTCAAGGTTCTGCAAAATGTTACCAGAACATGCAATATATTTATACAAAATGAGCAATTGCATGTGAGATGACATTAGCAATGGCAACCAAAATAGTGATGACAATAGTGAGGCAATAGGAGGGTATGTACAAAGAACCAACACAGCGGTCTTATGGCTAGCCTTTATTTTTAACCCTCTGAGTGTCGAATTTTGATGAGAAAAACCTTCACAAATTGTCAAATTATTTTGTTGCAGCTATTTAATGTACGAAATATGTAAAGCCAGAAAAAGAAACTGTAAAAAAATGAACAGTGTTTTGGTGCCCACATCACTCAGAATTGCAAAGCGATCAATGCGTGGTATTCCTAGAGACACGAGTATATGCACAGTGCCTTATCGCCGTCTGCACACATAACACGTGTCTCCGTTCTATTCCTGGGCCGACAAGTTGTGCTAGCCAACACGTGGCATATTCTCCGAGTATGGCTGCCTTGGGCAGAGTAAACTTCGTAATCAAGGAGAACAAGAATGCCTTGCGAATCGGTGATAAACAAGCTAAGAACAGTGCCAATAAAGATGGAAATCAACTTCCACTGCCCCGGTAAGAGAGTGCTGATAACGATGAAAATCAAGTTTTGCGTGCCTCCCTAGAGACTACGCAGTGAAACTGAAATCACGAAAAAGCATTGGCGCAGATCGCATTGATGCTACAAATCAGTTCTGTTTATTTCTGCAAGAAGGTACCACAATATATTCCAATGCTTTATGTAAGTCCTAGGAGGAGGCAGCACCTGTCAGTGAACACATATCGTCATTATGGCACAAAACTTCAAGTGGTGGTTCAAAAACACACAAATTCAGTGAAGACACTGCGAGACAGATATGGCATAAACACTTACACGGTTGACAAAGTTTCAACATGCGATAACTGAGACAGTTTTTTTTTATCTTAGTCCTGCAGAGGGCCGTGACAGTCAAAAAGTTAGGGGGAAGTGAACAAAATTTCAGTTAACATTGCCATTTGAAATAAAGACCCTTCCCATAACGCGTATATGGGGCATATCTGAAGAGTATTTTGTGTCAGGATTCCACTAACATGCTAACAGTGATCTCCAAAATGACTAAAACGGAACGCCATTCATCAAATTTAGAGATTTCGTTTTCGGTAACGGTTATCTGTCAACACAAGGCAACTGCATGGGGTGCCTCACAACAAAATGCTTCAGACACAAACTACTTTACCCAATAAAACATTGTTAATCACAATAGGAGAAAAAATAATGTCAGTACCAGTGAGTAAAGTCGCACCACTTTATTCCACGTAAAGCCGTGGGCCGCTAACGGACCATCAGCAGACCACGTGCGCTGCGTGTTTAAGAACCCTGGTATAAGATTAAGATAACTAAACACCTTCTGAGTGGTTCCTTGAAGCGAGAAGTGTTTTCGTAAAATGGTATTTGACAAAAACATGTTTTTTACAATATTAAAAATGTATATATTTATTAAAAACTCCAAAATCTGCAGACATTTTAAGAATTTATTTATCATATTATAGTGCACGTGACCCCACGCAGCTGCTTAACTTCACCTATTTGAAACAAGTTAATGCATGAGGTTCAGAACTGATTCTGTGTGTGCGTGTTTTCTTGAGTAGTAGTTCATGCTATTACTCTTGCCTGTTGTTGCATTATAACCTGCAGCACTACAATCTGCACCACTAGTCTTGAAGGTAGTGGAATGGATAGGTTTAGTATAAAAGTAGGGCAATGTAAAGCATTTCAAAGAGGCCACTATGAGAGAAATATGGGCATAAAACACACCCAGTTTTATACAAGATCACATTTTGTGCTAGGTGACAATACACACGACACATCAATGTAATATGCACGAGCTTGCAGCAAAGGAGAGTGATCAAGTTATTATTCACTTTTGCCACGCACACATCTGTGGGCTAATGACTAAAGCATCCAGCTGTAGCCTCACGGAAAGCTAGTTTGAAGTTTACCATTACATACACAATCTTCTTTATAAAAACCACACCAAAAGGCAAGACAGAAACCTACCGACAGCAATGTGCCTAACACGAGTGAAAGAGTGCCTTGAAAGAGTGCACTTCAGAGCGGTCCTGGCAGCCGTACTTCACGTCTGCTAAACCGTTGATTTGCGTCATTTCAGGCAACTTTGGACGAGCCCTAGTTGAACGAGCGTCCGTCTCTGCCTGGATGCTACTCGGTGAAGCGAATATTACTTCGAGGGTTGGCACGAGCCAGCAGGCCTTCATCGGACGCATGCGCATCCTGGCAGACACCGTACTCAACGAATCAAGCAAGAATACGTCAGCGTTCCGGAGTTCATCGAGGGGCGGCATTTCTGACGCCAATATAAGAAACCACGCAGCTGGATTGTGCACTTCAGAGCGGTCCTGGCAGCCGTACTTCACGTCTGCTAAATCGTTGATTTACGTCATTTCAGGTAGGCAAGTACGTATTTACCCTAATTATTAACTTCTCAAATTTCATAGCTACAGGACCGCTCTGAAAAACGCATTTGTTCACTGTCTTTGTTGTGCAATCATGTCGTGTGCAACAGCTGATTTGTCTGACTTTGCTAAGTCCCTAACCGACAAACCCCCTGGCAGCATCAAGAAAGTCACAAAGGTTTTGATGAAAATGACTGCGCAGTTTGTTAAGGCTATGTCTGACCTTACTGCTACAATTAAGAATCAGGACCCATCCATCAATGATATGAAAACCGAATTGATAGCTGTCACAAAGTCAATGGGGCACATGAATGAGTGCTTTGAAGACTTTAGAAACGAAATGAAAAGCATGCGCTCTAAACTTTCGGAGGCAAAGACAGGCAGCATAGAGTATCAAAAGGAAATTTCAATGCTAAATAAGAAATTGAAGGAAACTAAGAAGCAACTAATTGAGCTTAAACAGTACAGTCGAAAGCAAAATATTGAACTGAAGGGAATCCCCTAGGTACCTAGTGAGGACCTATCTCTGACTATCGACAAAATTGCGTTGTTGCTGGGTGTAAGGCTTGATGAGAATGCACTTGATGCTGTTCGTGTTCCAACGCGTGGTAGTGGCCCTCCAAACTTAGTGGTGAAGTTTTTGTCTAGGTCGACATGAGACAGGATCTTGAAGGCAGCCAAAAAACACAGACTGAACAGATCGACCTTCGGTTTCGAGGTAAATGAGCCGGTGTTCGTAAACGAACATCTGTGCCCCGAGTACAAGGTTCTGCTTGGGAAGGCAATATAGCTAAATCGAGAAAAAAACTGGAAGTTTGTGCGGGTGGTTGACAGCAGAATCCTGATGCGTAAAAATGAAAATTCGCGCGTGTTTCAAGTGACATGCAAAGACGACCTTGGCAGCGTGGCATAAGTGGTTCTCTTGTGCCTATACCCAGTGCACGTACCCAGTTCAAACAAAATGTCTCGCCTAAATCAACTAGACAATTGCACTCGCAGATGCATGTCGATATTTCACAGCAACATTCGCAGCATAAGAAAAAATCTTAATCAGCTTCTCGCATTTATTGCCCAGCAGCCACAACGCCCTGACGTAATCGCTGTCACTGAAACTTGGCTAAAAACCAATGAAAACATTGTTATTCCTGATTACAGAATGCTATCGCAGCCACGTGACTCTCGTTCTCGAGGGGGTGGTGCTGCTCTCTTCGTAAAAAATGAGCATTCATATACAATTATTCCTTCACTATCATGCAGCCCATATGCCATTGAATCACTTTTCATCAGGTTGGAATCTTCAATTACAGTGGGCGTAGTTTATCGTCCCCCCAACGCGTGTTTTCTCTCCTTTCTTGAAACGCTTGAAATGATCCTGAGCCAACTAACAAAGAATGTCAAACAATCTGCTGTTATTGTTGGTGATATGAACATTGATACCTGTAGTCCAGTGAATGATGATTACAACTACTTGCTAAAATCGTATCACTTTCGCAACCTCATCACTTCACCAACTCGAATAACAGCAACGTCTGCTACATTGATCGATCATGCACTTGCAAATTCCGAGAAATATATTAGTGCCGGAGTGTATGACAAGCCTATCACAGATCATTTCCCAATATTTGTCTCTGTTGATTGCCTAAAGAATAAAGAACGTGAAGGGCCGAGGTTTGCAACAAAAATAGACTACTTGGCTTTAAGAAATATTTCCTAGGATCTAGCGTTAATCAAATATACCATGACGACGTTAATATAAAATTTTCGAACATGATTACTTTTCTTAAAAACGCGATCAAAGGAAGCAGCAGAAAAGTCTCGGTTCATTCACGGGAAACGCCAATATGTCCCTGGATGAATAAAGAAATCTTGGAAGTCATAAGAAGCAAAGATTACTGGTATGACAAATGGAAACGGCACAAGCATAAAGAGTTTTATTTGTGCCAGTTTAAAACAATGCGTAATAAACCAGTTGCCTTGATGAGGAGGAGTAAAAAGGATTATTATGCACGACAAATAGAGCAGGCGAATGGTAATTTGGTAAAACTATGTCAAATTATAAATGACGTTGTTGGTAACCCTCCCGCTTCTAAGGTGCTTCCTGATGTCATCGACTCCAATACGGTTGAATTGTTTAACACTTATTTTGCCTCCATTGGTCCAACACTGGCTAAAAAATTCAAGGAACCCAACCAAGAACATGGTCTCGCAGATTCCAATCCCAATTCTTTTGTCATGCATGACATCGACGTTGAGGAAATCATATCAATTGTGTCAGGAATGCCAATGAATAAATCGGCAGGCTTAGATGGGATAACTGTAAGGCTTCTCAAAAAAAATTTAGACGTCCTCGGACCGGTTTTATGTCGACTATTTAAGGGGGGAGGCTACC